ACCAGCAGGAGTTCGAGCTCGGAGTCGATCTGATCTTCAAGACTATCGAGCTTATATCAGTGCGCATGTCTCACCTTGGAGAGCAGAGGCGTCCTTTCCTTAGCGTCCTAGCCCAGCTTGTTGAACGGTCCCAGAACATTAAGCTTTGCAGCAAGGTGCTGGGTATGGTCGAGACTTGGATTTTCCATTCGACCGAGTCATGGCCTACGCTGAAGGAGAAGACCGCTGTCTTGCATAAGATGCTACTATTTGAGTCTCGACAAGACCAAACCATGCTGAAGAAGTTCCTTGATCTTGTCATCAGAATATATGAGGACTCTAAGATCACCCGGACCGAACTGACTGTCCGACTCGAGCACGCCTTCTTGATCGGAACCAGGGCACAGGACGTCGAGATGCGGAATCGCTTCATGACCATCTTCGACCGCAGCTTGACCCGCCTAGCTAGCTCTCGTCTCAGCTATGTGTTGACCTGTCAAAACTGGGACACGCTGGCGGACTCATTCTGGCTGGCCCAGGCGTCTCACTTAGTCCTGGGCTGTGTGGATATGGGCTCTTCGGCGAGGTTGCATCCTGATGATTTCACTGTTTACCCCGTGTCTTTCCTCTATGGCAATGCCGATAAAGATTCAAGGAAAGCAGATGTTATGGTAGACATTCAACTGGAAGCTTTCGTCTCCGAACGCAAGCGTTTTATAAGTGAAATTGGTGACGTTAAAGCTCGCGATCTGATCGAGCCTCTGTGTCAACTCCAACACACCGACCCTGCCGTATCCTATAAGCTTTGGACGACTTTGTTCCCTATCTTCTGGTCTACTCTGTCCAAGGAGGACCGCATCGATTTGGAGAAGGGAATGGTGACCTTGATCACGCGCGAGTATCATCAACGACAACTTGACAAGAGGCCTAATGTCGTGCAAGCTCTGCTCGAAGGTGTGGTGCGCGCTAAGCCACGTTTCAAGATCCCGCCACATGTGATGAAGTATCTCAGTCGAACTTATGATGCTTGGTATACTGCTGCCACGTATCTTGAGGAGACTGCCATCAGCCCTATCATCGATACTCCTACTGTCCGTGAAAGCAACCTTGATGCTTTGGTGGAGGTATACGCGGGGCTGCAAGAAGATGACTTCTTCTATGGCACATGGCGGCGCCGTTGTAAATTTGTGGAGACCAACGCCGCTCTCTCTTATGAGCAGCAGGGGATGTGGGACAAGGCTCAACAGCTCTACGAAAACGCTCAGATCAAGGCTCGCTCAGGTGCGATGCCGTTCTCCCAGGGCGAATACTATCTCTGGGAAGACCACTGGCTCATCTGCGCGCAGAAGTTGCAGCAATGGGAAATTCTCAGTGACTTTGCGAAGCATGAGAACCTGAACGATCTCCTCTTGGAGTCGGCGTGGAGGAACATCGAGAACTGGCAGAGTGAAAGCAGCAGGGAGCAGCTTGAGTCTCTTATCAAGTCTGTTTCTGATGCGCCCACTCCAAGACGCACCTTCTTTCAGGCGTTTATGGCGCTACTTCAATTCCACATCAAGAAGGAGAACATCCAGGAGTTCAACGGTGTGTGCGACGAATCCATTCAGCTGTCCATTAGGAAGTGGCTCCAGCTGCCGAAGAGAATCACGAACGCCCATATTCCGATCCTGCAGCATTTCCAACTGCTGGTTGAGCTTCATGATGCAAGCCATATCTGCGCCAGTCTTTCGCAGACTAACGAGCGCAACCTCGATACCAAGTCTGCCGAGTTGAAGCTGCTCTTGGGTACATGGAGAGACCGTCTGCCTAACCTTTGGGACGATATCAACGCTTGGCAGGACCTTGTCACATGGCGGCAGCACATCTTCCAGCTCATCAATGCGACGTATCTTAGCCTTCTGCCTCCGCAGACGAACAATGTGGCGAGTAATTCGTATGCTTACCGTGGATACCACGAGACAGCATGGATCATCAACCGCTTTGCTCACGTTGCTCGCAAGCATCAAATGCCGGAGGTGTGCATCAACCAGCTCAGCCGTATTTACACTCTGCCGAACATTGAGATTCAAGAAGCTTTCTTGAAGTTGAGAGAACAGGCCAAGTGCCACTACCAGAACCCCAAGGAGCTAAATAGTGGGCTGGACGTCATCAATAACACGAATCTCAACTACTTCGGTGCTCAGCAAAAGGCGGAGTTTTACACCCTGAAGGGAATGTTCCTTGCCAAGCTGAACCACGTCAATGAGGCGAATGAGGCCTATGGTGTGGCTCTCTACTACGAATTGAGACTTGCCAAAGCCTGGTCGGAGTGGGGACAGTACAGCGATCAACGTTTCAAGTCTGACCCCTCGGACTATGAGCTTGCCAGCAATGCCGTCAGCTGCTACCTAGAGGCTGCCGGTCTTTACAAGAATGCCAAGTCAAGGAAGCTGCTTAGTCGCATCCTCTGGCTTCTCAGCCTCGACAACGAAGAGGGGCAGATTGCACGTGCATTTGAGAGTTTCAAGGGTGATACTCCAGTTTGGTATTGGATCACATTCATACCACAGCTCCTTACAAGCTTGTCACACCGCGAAGCTCGTCTATGCAAGGCTGTTTTGGTCAAGATCGCCAAGTTGTTCCCACAAGCCTTGTTCTTCCTGCTCCGTACGAACAGGGAGGATATGCTTAACATCAAGAAACAGCACGATCAAAAGCAGGAGAAGCTCAATCGTGTCAGACAACAGCAGCAACAGCAGCAACAACAGGCTTCACCACGGCCCAAGCCTTCGCCGGGAGTCACTAATGCCTCTCCTCTCCAGAACACCCAGACAGTCAATGCCACTGCTCCGACTCCAACCCCACAGCCCCCAAGTGGTCAGCAGCCTACACAGAACCAGGCACAGCCATCACAACAACAACCCCAGGGGCAAGCGCAAGGCCAGATGCCGAATGCAGGTCAGGTTAACAACCCGAATCAGCCACAGCAGACTCCTGTTCAAGGCCAAGTTCAAGGCCAGCCTCAAGCTCAAGGTCAAGCTCAACCTCAAGCCCAACCCCAAGCATCTGTTCAAGGACAAGTGCCCAATCAAGGGCAGCCTCAGGCGCAACAGGCACAAGGCCAGCAACAAGGTCATCTTCAGGTTCCCGGACAAAATGGAGTGCCGCAGCAGAATCAGAATGCTGCTAGCGCGGAGCCTGAGAAGGAGCCTCTCAAGAAGCCGTGGGAGTACTCTGATGAGATTATGTCAGGCCTCAAGACTGCTTTCCCTCTGCTGGCGCTGTCGATGGAGACCATGGTGGATCAAATCCACAAGAACTTCAAATGCCCTCCTGACGAGGATGCCTATCGTCTCATTGTTGCACTCTTGAACGATGGACTTGCTTACGTGGGCCGTATGCCGGGCTCTTACGCGCAAGATTTCAAGCTACCCCCTGCGACTGAAGCGAATATCACGCGGTTTGCTGAGACCATTCTCCCTGCCCACATCCGCAAATCCTTCGAGGCGGACTTTGTGGTCAAGAAGCCAACGATGTACGAGTACATCCAGAAGCTGCGCCGTTGGCGTGACAAGTTTGAAGAGAAGCTCGACCGCCGTCCTCAATCTCAATTCTTGGAGACGTATTCGCCTCATCTCAGTGAGTTCCGCTTCCTCAAGTTCGACGAAGTCGAGGTGCCAGGCCAGTACCTCCTGCACAAAGACAAAAACCAAGACTTCGTTCGGATTGACCGCTTCCTTCCCGACATTGATCTGGTGCGCGGTATCGGTGTCTGCCACCGTCGCTTGAAGATCCGCGGCCACGATGGTAGTGTGCATCCGTTTGCAGTCCAGCATCCAGCAGCCCGGCACTGTAGACGAGAGGAGCGAATTCTACAGCTGTTCCGCATTTTCAACGGACTTCTGGGCAAGCGCAAGGAAAGTCGGCGCCGCAATCTGTACTTCCATCTCCCGCTCATGGTTCCACTGGCGCCTCACATTCGCCTGGTTCGGGATGACCCGTCCTACATCTCCATGCAGGGTATCTACGAGGACTACTGCCGACGTGTGGGCATTAACAAGGACGAGCCTGTCATGTTCACTATGGAGAAGATGAGGTCTCTGGCAGAAACGAAACAGAACGTAAGTGATCCCGACTTAGCCATAAAAACGAACCGCACTAACGTCTTTCAGCGCTCCAACGACCAGCAGCAGGTCCTGCGTACTGAGATGCTCACTGCTATTCAGGAGAAGTGGGTTCCCAGCACAATTGTATTGGACTACTTCCAGCGCATGTACCCGAACTTCTCGGACTTCTGGCTCTTCCGGCGGCAGTTTGCTTACCAATATGCGGCCATTGCATTCATGACCTACGTCATGCACATGGGCAACCGGTATCCCAACAAGATTCTCGTGTCGAGGTTGACGGGTGACATTTGGGGCTCGGAGCTGATCCCCACGATCAACCCGACCAAGGCCTTCTTCTACAACCCCGAGCAGGTGCCGTTCCGCTTCACCCCCAATATCCAGACGTTGCTCGGACCGATTGCTACGGAGGGATTGTTTGCGTGCGCCTTGATGGCCATTGCACGCTGTCTGACGGAACCCCGACACGAACTTGAGCAGCAGCTCAGTATCTTTGTCCGGGACGAGATGATGTTCTGGGCTACGGCTCAGCACCGTGCACCTCTGGGACCACCGCAGCTCCGCGATCTCGTCTACAACAACAGCGATGTGATCGTCAACCGGGCCGTCAGCCTTGCCAGTCCTCCTGAGGGTAACCTGCCAGCCAACCAAACCACGATCGATCTGATCTCCAAGGCCGTGAACCCGCAGCATCTTGCTGCCTGCGATGCTCTCTGGATGCCGTATCTGTAAAGCTGGTCGCTGTTTCTTTTATCTGTTTGCCTTGTCTGTGTTCTCTTGGCGTTTCGTTTGGGCTGAGGGCTTACGGGATTTCCAGCCAGTGGTTTCATTCTAGCGTGGCGCTTCGGGGCAAAACAGGGATCGTCTTGCGTATCTACTTGTTTGACGTGTTTATGCATTGTTGGTGTATCACAATTATTTAATCAATCAACATGTTCAGTTTAATATATCATGATAATGCCCGTATAGTAACAAAACTCCATGCTCATGAGCCGAACGCCATCCCACCCATAGATAATATAAACTATACCAACGACGGCTTCGCCTTCTTCTTGATCCCCAAGCTATTCACAGCAGGCTTCTTCGCTTTCTTCACCCTCGCAAACGAAGGCGGCGGCGGCGGCATCTCCCCAGCACCACTGCCGCTGGCAGCGACATTCCCACTGCCACCCACCCCATTATCAGGACTCTCATCATCCTCAACCAACCTCCTAACCTTCTCGCCCTCCTCCGTCCTGAACGCCCTCCTCGCCACCTCCTCAATCTCCCTCTCCACTCTCTCCGCCTCCTCATCCTTCTCCTCCCTCACCGCCCCCAACGCCATCTCTCCCCCAGCACCACCCCTCTCAATCCTCGCATTCCGCGTCCTTATCTCATCCAACGCATCCGCAATTGCCATCTCCCGCTTCGAATCTAACATCTTCTCCTCCAACTCTGCCATCTTATCCCTTTCCTCCTGCTCCATGTTCTCCCCTTCCTCCCGCTCCAACCGATCAAGCACCTGCTCCTCTGTCTCCTCCGCCGTCTCCTCCGCTTTGCTTCTGTCCCGCCATGGCTCGAAATTGCGCTTCGCGCCCCGCTCCGCCCGGTAATCCATGTTCTTCGGGTCCGTCAGGAAGGTGATTTCGCCGCTGCATCGCGTGCAGCGGATGTAGAAGCGGTAGATCGGGATGGAGAAGTATTTTTCGGATGTGGTTTCTTTGCGCGCGTTGAATTTGCGGCCCTTGTAGATGAATTCTCCTGCGAAGTAGTAATTTATGTTAGGATGAGTTTCAAGGGGGGGGATGGGAACGGGGGAACGTACCGCATTTCGTGCATTTCATGGAGAAGGGGGCCATGAGGCGGACGGTTATTACTTTGGGACCTTGTCTAGAGCATTTTGTTAGAGGGTATTGTGATATTTGTATCTCTGGGCAGGGGGTACTCACTGGCGCAGGTGCTTTGGTGTGCGCGTGATAGCGCTGGGATCGAAATCCGGGGGGTAGTATTTGCTTTACATTTGAGGTTATGTTAGTTGCTGTGGTTGTCTTTCAGATGTTGTGGTCGGGACTTACGTGAGGACCTTTCGCTCGGACATGGTGGCGGATTATCCGTAACGTTCGTAACCAAGGCGTTGTGTGTATGTATGGGTGGAAAGGTGTTGAGGATAAGTTGAAAAGTGTAGGAGGTGAGTGTAGATGGCGATTGCGATGCGATGCTATCGGATGCACTCACGTGACGTTTACTTCTTATCTATGTACACAAGATGATTGATGAATGCTTACTAATTATGCATTTGGCTCTAACTAAATGATATACGCCTCCAATGCTATAACCGAACCATGGTGCCAGCTCCAATGACAAAACCAGGGTATACCTCTCCAAACGCCCAGTCGCTATGCTCCAATGTTTCCTGTGTCCTTCAACTATGTCTAGCGTTGCTTCGCATCCGCGACCCACGGCTGCGCCCTCCCGCCGGCCCTGGCGTGTCGTTCATTTCCATATCCCGACTCAGGCCTGGCTGTCGCTTGCTTCGTCCGCCGCGTACACGGCTCATAGCATGTCGGAGGAGTCCATCAGCCTCGTCATCAAGTTCCATCTCCACCTTGTCTCCAGCTGTCTCCTCTGTGACTGTGGTTTGGCTGTCGACGTGAGCAACCTCATCGGTCCACTCCTCGGCGTATGCTTCGTCCACAGTCCCACGTCGTCGAGATACTTTCCCCTTTCCCTTGGAAGACCGTGTCGAGCTGCGGCTTGTGGTGGTCCGAGCATCCTCTAACACCACCGGCTCTTCCTGGCCCTCTAATGCCCAGATTTCCAGTGCTCGCGATAAGAGCGTGCCAGCAATGCCGGCACCACCAGCTGCATCACCACCACCACTCGCTCCCAAGACACGTACTGCCTCATGCAGGGCTGTAACGGCTTCCATGGTGCGGTTCAGCTCCAACAGCACCAGGCCGCGAGCAGTGTGCAGGGATCCAATCAACCCTCGATCCTCGTACCCTCCAACTCCGGATGAGGCGACTCCAGAGGCATTTCCTCCGCTGCCTCCTAGGAACGGGCTGTACCCGAAGCTTGCACCCGCCGCACCAATGCGAAGACACTCGTCGAACTCGGCCAGTGACTCTTGGAATTGACCGATACGTCGCAGGGCATGCCCGAGATTAGCTCGCGTGGCAACCCAGGCCCCAGGTTCACATTGAAGCGATGTGGCCAGCGTGAGGGACTGACGGAACAGCTCGACGGCGCCCTCGAGGTGATTCTGATGGTACAAAACTACACCCAGCTCGTTGAGTACGAGCGGGTCACCACCCAAAGAGGTGAGTTCCGACGGATTGGCCCTTATAGAGGGAGCAGAGCTAGACGCGGATCCGGTCGACATGGAATAGGCGGCCGACAGGTACTCATGGGCCAAGGACATGTTGTTTAGCGCAAGATGTTGCATTCCCAGGAAGAGCTGCGGCAAATGACTGCCCTGGAAAAGCCGAGCTGCAGTGCTATACGCCGCAATGGCTTGATCGTGCTCACCTTCGGCAGCAAAGGTATGAGCGAAGCCAATCCATGCTGGCGCAGAATGCGGGTCCAAAAGAGACGCTTTGGAGAAATAGCGTCGAGCTTCAGCGATCTTAGAGACGGACAAGTAATAAACACCAATTGCGAGATATGTATAAGACTCCTCGGGAGCATGATCGGCAAGCGTATGGGACAGAAGGAACAGGGCGTTCGTGGCGCCCGTCTCATATAAGCAAGCCAAATGCAAGGGGTACACGGCTGGCGGATGTCCCAGGTGGCTTTGGGCAGAAATATGGACTGCAGGCGTCATCTGCGACGAAACCGCAGACTGAGATGTGGACAGAACTGACGAAGTCAGTTCCAAAGCTTCAGCAAATCGGCATTGCGTATATAGAGCTTCAGCGCGAGAAAGCAGAATATCCGGATTCTCCGCTAGGTTGTAGTGAGTTGATAGGGTTTCGGTAGCGTCTGAGAGGATCGTAGGCGATGAATATTTCGACAATCGGGTGGTGTAAAGCATCTTCGTAAAGTGGGCGGCCTCCTGCGCGACTGACTGGTCGGGACTCGACACGGAGTCGAAATCAAGGGACTCGAGGAATTCCAGCTCCTCTGCCGGAGACATGAGGGAGTTCTTCATAAGCTGGTCAAAAGCCTCGAAGCACTGCACGTCAATGCGTACGGCGTCCTTGTAGCAGTCGCGAGCACGGTCAAACGCATTTTGTTTCGCAAAGCAGAGTCCCCGTAAGTAACACATCGCCGCCTCAAACCGAACGTTATTTGCATCCTCCCGCTCTCGCTCTTCGCCCCGATCGATGCGCGACGCTGTCGTCTTTCCGTTCCGCAAGGTAACATGGCTTTGACCGTTAAGGTGTTGGATTTTGCGGCGACTATTGCTGCTGCGTATAAGATGCGTAGGATTATGATCGCCCAGGACTGAGAGTGCCTGATCGAACTGATTCTGTTTGATGTGGCAGTGTGCGGCCAGATAGCGACAAGCCGTACTTCTGGAGATCAGGTCTTTTCGTGACAGGAGGGCCAAGGCACGGGCGTAGTTGTTGTTCGAAAAATGTACTTGTGCGAGCCAAAAGGCATCAGAGTCGCTGTCTAGAGAAGCAATAGGTTCAGCACTGATCGGGATGATACTGGGTTGGCTCACTCACTGGTTAGCGCAAGCACTTTATCGCCAATGTAGATGGCCGCATCATGCTGGCCCCGGTTCAGCGCATCCTGACGCCAGGAGCGCAGAAACTTCTCCATGACCAAATAAAGCACGTGGGACACGAGATTGAGTGCGGTTCAAGAGCGAGGGGCTGTCACAACGGTCGCATGGACAGAAAGGCATGAGGCGGGTTGGAGGGGCGACGGCGTCCGGGGAGAGTAAACAGACCGCGGCGTCCCTCAGCAGGCAATACAACTTTCGCAGAGAGGAGCTGGCTATCACACTAGCAGTGCTAGGTTGAAATACCGTGTACAGGCCTGCAAACAGAGAGAAATAACCGGAAAGGCAATAAGCAATGTGGTATTGGAGAATGAAGCTCCGTCGGATTGTTGCGAGAATCCAAAGTCCAAAGCGGCGCGTGTTCGGGTTCGGGTCCGTGCGTCTTGCCCGATCGAGAAGCTGGGCGGATGCTGCTTCATCTCCCACTGCTCTATATCTATCTAGTCTATTCAGTCTATCTTCAAGCTCTATCTATCTACCCTTAACGAGTAGCAAACTCTAACTAATTCTCAAAATACCTTTGTAACCCGCCAACCAACACTGGCTCCCTTGGCCAGAAACAGAAATAGACAGGCTCCAGCATATGCCGCTCCACTGAACCCAATCAAGCCGGAATACTCCGTCTCTACTTTCCCCCGATTCTGCCCCTTCAAGATCTCACCAGCCACAGGAATGGCAACTAACAACGCAAACGCCATCAGCGCGATTGTTGTACCGAATCGTTTGCCATAGCTCTCAGTTTTGGAGATTTGAGCCACGCAGACGGGTGTCAGACTTATCGCTGGTCCGCTCCAAAACCCGATTAATGCCGCGAAAGCCAGGATACAAGCTTTGTCGGTGCCCGCCGTAAACCATAGACCAAAGGACAGAATAGTACATACAGCACAGGTCCCAAACATAACGTTGAAGCGGCCCCATATATCCGCTAAGACTCCCGGAATGACGCGGCCGAAGATAGATGTTGCGCTCATGATCGTCATGAGCTGGTAGGAAAGGGCGCCAGTGATGCCGTGCGATTGTGCATAGGACGGATAATAGGTGACTAGGACTATCAAGCCGATTTCCGCGAAAATGACGGCGATGGAAGTCATGGTGAAGACGGGCTCCTTGAGCGCGCGAATGTCGATCTTGTTCCCTGCTGACGGACTAGGTGGGAGACGTGCTTCGAGAGTAAGCAGGCTGACCATTAGGCTAGCGAGGAATATAAATCCCAGGATGCGGATAGTCCAGGGGAACCCAATTCTATTGCTCAGGATACCGAACACATTGGTGAAGATAATTCCTCCAATGCCACCCCCTGTCGTCGCGATCCCGGTCGCTAGACCACGTCTCTTGAGGAACCAGTGCGTGATGCACGCAGCACTGGGTGTGTACACTGCTGATGCAGAGAGCCCACCTAAAATGCTGAATCCCAAGATGAACTGATAGTATTCTTGACCAGGCAAAAGTCAGTCCATGAAACCGGGGCTGGAGATATCCAACCGTACCGTGGGAGACGCTGAGGAACATCATCGACAAGGTCATGCCAATGCAGCCAGGCACGAGAATATATCTGACACCATGTGCGTCAAATATGGGCCCTCCAGGACGTGTCAGTAGATGTTCGAGCGTCGGAATGAAAGCGATGCATACCAATTTGGATGCCACCGAGATAGAAGAAGAAAAGCCACAAACTGAAGATCCACGAGATTGATGCTTTTGAATATTCATGTAGCTGGTGTTCTGCCAGCCAATCTTCCAACAACCCGTACAGGTTCATTATTCCCATTGTCGGGAAGATGGCGCACCATGCGCCCAAGACTACTAACCAGGCTCGCCATCCTCCTTCCGGGAAAGATGATGATTCTTCGCTGTCAACGAGTGTCTGGGAATCATCGTTTTTCTCGTTCTCACTCGAGGCTGCTTGTATCACGGTGCAGACATCATCCTTAGTTGACTCCATAATGATGTATGAAGGAACAAGAGTGAATGACCCAGAAAGCTGGAATTGCTGGAACATAACCGGCATCAGCAGCATCAGTCGCCATGCTGTTACGAACACAGCATACCACTAGTTTCGGCGATCATTGGAGCAATAGCCTATCTCCTTCCCGACGGAGAATTCCCTTGCATCGGTGACTGTGTTCCCGAGAGATAGCATGTTGGCGAGATTACTATTAGCAACAGGAGAGTGAAACAAGTATGCAAGACATGCCTGTATCAGCATCGATCTACAGGATCTACAGTGCAGTGGCGATAGCGCAGTAGGGACACGATATGAAAAAGCAAATCGCCATTTGTACAACCTGCTGAGTCCTAAAGCGTATCCTACTAACAAACTGCTTGTTCAGTGACAGCTATCGGCAAGTAAAAATTTGGCCTAAGGAACTTATTGATCATGTAGAAGCGCTCCGACCATGTGCATCGAACCTACCGATAAAACCCAGATATAAAAACCCGCATTCCCTGAATTGACTTTTTTAACAGTATGAGGCATTCCAAACCATCGTGAAAAAATATAAATAGAGCAGTAAACCCAAAATACACGTAAGCATTGTGATGATCTACTACTATTATCTTCAACCTACCGTTATGATTAGTATATAGTACTAGGCGCCATCCGGAAGAGTACTAAGTTATATATCTCATTGCCCACCCGCCAACCTAGCAATGCAAAACTATAGTATGGACTTGTTAGTACTAAGAACTAAGAGTTTTGTCCTTCACATCCTGGATAGTCTAATGATATCTGCAACAACTGGTTTTCCTGTGTTCTTAATAATTAAGCCAAGTGGATGTTCGATGCATCTCGTCAGCCTCTTGCCAGGATAGCTTCTTCTCATACTCATCACTACAAGTGCACAAGGGGTTGGATCAAAACAAACGAAATATAGAGACTATGAATATAGGAGCAAATTTATAGTAACTAGTAACTCGAAGGATCCAGCACGCAGCATTCAAACTGTATCCTGGAAAGACGTAATCGCGGCCCACATCAAACAATATAATTCTTCAATTTAAGTAACCTCTGCTTGCCCATTCCCAGGACCTCGTCTTCTTTACAAAACGCAAACCGAAGAAAGTCTTCCCCTATATGTGCATTGTCATCACTATAGAACTCCGACGGCGGAATAGAGGCAACGCCAATCTCCTGGATCAAGAACCAGCAGAGCTTGCAGTCTCTTCTTCGTTGTTCAATATGTGCTGGGAATACATAATCGCTGGGGATTTGTACCCGGGATAAATTCACCAGGACAAAGTATCCGCCTTCGGGTTCGGTGTACTTACGAACCCTCGTCAGTACGAACGATTCTCTTTCTTCCAAAGGTTCCATAAATGAATCGGATAAGAAGGACAAACCGGTAGTCCAAGGTCTTCGAAAACCTCACAGAACAACCTCATCTTATCTTTCATTTCCTGCCGGCTATGCTCCCAAAAGCTGTTCCTGTCCGCCTCTTCGAAAGCAACCGCCACTGCTTCCTGTAGCGGAGATACGCTGCTGTAGCAGATGCGGGTGTGTACTGCGGAAACATATTTGATGAGTTGCTGTGGCCCAATCAAATAGCCGATTCTCCAGCCTGTGGCATGGAAAGCTTTCCCAGCGGATGCGACGGTTAGTGTGTGATCGAAGAGGTCAGGGGAGATAGTTGCGATTCGCGTAAAGGGGACATAGTAAAGGTGGTCGTAGACCTCGTCGGAGAGGATGAGAAGATCGTGTTTCAAGCAGATGTCGCCAATGCGCTGGAGCTCTGCCTCTGTGAAGACTTTTCCTACGGGGTTGTGACTGCAGTGCTGTGGTTAGCTTGTTGGCTTAGTGAGGTGTAACTGAATTGAGGCGTTCATACGGCGTGTTGAGGATCTGGACTTGGTTAGTGAACGCATACTAAGGTATTACAGAGGATGGGCAAAGGATATGGCCCATACAATCATCTTCGTGTTTTTGTTTATGGCTTTCTCAAGCTCTTCAAAGTCAACTGTCCATTCGGATGCACTTGATATTGCTCTACTGCTGTTCTTTGGCGGGTGAAGAGGCACATAGCGAGGAATACCACCTGCCAGTTCAATTCCGCTTCTATATCTATCACACGATGGCTGGTAGTTAGACCTGTGGAAACAATGTCTTGTCCATGAGAAACATACTGGTCAAAGAAGGGTTCAAATGTAACGACTTCGTCACCGGGATGTATAAATGCCAGTAATGCACACAGCATGCCTGTATGTTTTTTTACTGATCAGTGACCACTTAAACATGATAGTTACCTACAGGCTTACCTTCATTAGCACCTGATGTGATGGCGACTTCATTCTCCTCGTCAATAGGTCTTTCAAGTAACTTGGAATAAGCCGACGCAATGGCCTTTCTCAGACTTAGGCGGCCCTGTTGAACTCTCAGTATTAATCAGATCTATACAATGAGGCTGTGGCTATAGCTTTACCTTCGTTGGAGCGCACTGGTTGCAATCAACCCTATTGAGCGCTTCCTTGGCCGCATCTATAGCAAACTGAGGCGGGTTAAAGCCACTTAATGAGTGATTAGGTATATAATCAGCCACACGGACAGAAGGAATAGGCTCACAAGAAGCCTTGTCCCAGGTTCACGATTGGTTGAATTGGAGATATAGCAGCTGCTTCGTTGACGATTGACCTGTATGTGCTTGGATTAGTGCTCTATATATCAAAGGTGTCGATGAGTGTGAAAAAATAATGGATGTACCAGACGTCCAGCCTGTCAGAGGCCACTCTAGGCGCCGGAGTACTGAAAGAATCGCTGCTGCTATGTGCCTCCATGTTCAGACAAGGACTGGAGCTTTCGGATTCTGGGGATGAAAATGGGTTCTAGGCGGAAGACCAGTGTCCTGAGTGCCGTCAGCCTTTTGAAAAGGTAGTCTGAGCGCCGAAGATACTGGGAAACCTGTTAAACCCAAGAAAGAGAGTGTATATAATCAAAGAAAAGAGAATTAATGCTTATACATGCAGGGGTTCGACACCTCAATATAGTCCATCTTCTAATGGCCACGGAAACTACATCCCGCCAAACAGAAATCAAGTGTTGTGGTGCATTGTTACTAATGCGTGCCAAAGAGCAGCAAGGGCTTACGTTCTCAAGCCAAAATCAAGGTCGGAAACATCACAAGGTCAATATAGTAGTGTGATGAGCTCAGTCAACCTTGATTTCTTCAGCGTAGGAGTCCATAAAGCACAATCCTGACTCGCGGAAACATAAGCCGATGTGCCTCACTGCTTCGGGCTTGCCCTACGGAGAACGCAACACCTGGAGCATTGCTACTCTGTGACCTGTGCTATACTGGAGTTATATGTAACGTATTACTCGCGGGCTGTATGTAAGATTACTTATGTCTAGATCGAACAGTCTTACTCGAACAGATGCGAGTTGGGATAATGAGGGAAGGTGACACCAGTACTCAGTCACAGAACAGGGTAGGAGTTATAACATAAGCTTGATTTGCCACCAACCTGCTTGAACAGAACAAAGGTCTCACAAGCCAATCACTTCATGATTCTGTTTATAGAAATTCCCTGTAATCTCACTCTACATAGTTCTCGGATCGGACTCCATGTTCTGTCCGATGTTGCAATTTGTCTCATCTGCAGTCTCGCATAACTATGCCTAAAGCTTCCGGGAACCCTGTTCCTGCGGGAAATCCCAGGATGGAGATGCATCTGCACCGTTTGGTCGAGTTGCACGAGCAAAGCCGTTCTCGACTCCCTCGATCTCAGCTACAGGTCGTACAACTTCCACGTCCGCTCCGTAGTGATGAGAGTACCATATCTCTGTCAGACTATTCTGGCGATCCCCTGGGGATGGTTCCACAAAGAGGTGTGGAAACCGTTCCCTCATGACCTCTAATGCCAGGACAGAACTGCGGCCAACGCTGTCGCAGAAGCGTAACTTGGAAAATGCAGGAGCAAAGGCACGCTGCAGCTGTGACTCTGTAGAGTTCGGATATTGGCCGACAGCAAAGAGCAGTAAGTTGAACTGCATCAAGGAAACCTGACCAATATACGATCCGCCGTATCGTATACGATTGTAAAGGCCAGTCAAGGCAGCGATGGCACCCATGCAACCGGCACCAGAGTCAGCTATAGGCAACGGGGATACCATCGGTTCCGCCGCACGGCCAAGGAATCGCCCATGACACCTTGCAAATCCGGTGAGCTATTTGCAAGTCAGTTTTAATAGGAGAGTGTCCCTGCAAAGCTCATTTGGGTGTGTTACATACGCAATCGGCTATCTGTTGCCATCCTGGGCGATGGCACCACTCACCTTCGTGCCCAAAGCAGGTTTCGTATATGTAGACGATCCCTTTCCCACGCTTCTCTGCCATGGCAGCCATAGTTTCTGGGCTGTATCCAAGTTTTCGAAGGGCGCCAGGGCGGTATCCATCAATGATCACGTCGACATCAGCGAGAAGGGCTTCGAACTGGCGGCGATCCTCATCAGCCTTGAGATCTAATTCCACAGTACGCTTGCCCATGTTATTGTCGACCTGAAAGAATGGTACGTCAGGCACCGTTGAAGATGTAACCTTCAAAACATCCGCTCCGTATTCAGCTAATGTACGACCGATCATGGGCCCTGCAATGACACAACAGAGCTCCAAGACCTTGACACCTTCGAGTATCCTATGACTTCCACTAGGGTTGAAAGCGGCTGGCGGTGTCTTCCCTGGCAGGCGCATAACCTTCCACCAAGGTTCCTCTATATTCGTTCTACCCTGTTCACAATATGAGTATATCTTGGTTTTCTGTCCGTGTGAGCTGCGAGGATCACCTTACATGGGGAGTGTTTCTGAATTCTTCATACTCGTACACCGTCACCCCTGCTTGCCGATTCGTCTCGTTGAGTCTCTCTAGCTCAGCTGCTGAGAACTTTTGAACCTGCCTCTGAATAGTGTTTATGATCTCATCGTAGTCAGTGAGATCCGCGCGGTGGCTGTCTAAACCGAGCATTTTCAGAGTGGAAGTTGGGTTCAAAGAGCCATGCAGATGAAAGAACTCGTTATCATGCTTGGTCCGGTACATACTGGCTGCCATTCGCCGATACGGATTTGATTGTGCAGCATGGATATCGGTATCTTCATCTCGTCAATTCCTGCTCCCTGCACTAGGAACAAGAGAGCGGCTTACCTTTCAAGTATCGTTTGACCTCAGGGTCGGATCGGGAGTACCCATTGATCTTGGCGACCAGTGCCTGAAAGCCGAAAAGCGTTGCCCTTTCAAGATTGATCGTAGTCTTTCGTTCATGTGGCTTAGATGCTGACTGCAGATCCGCTATCAGAGCTGCCAGGGCTCCTTCTATCCCCTTGAGAGCTGCCAGGGTTTCGGTGACCTTGAAAGGGATCGGATAGTAAATCGTATCTGAATTGGCCTGAAACTGTACTCGGCTACTATAGATCTCGCTTGGGAGACCGAGACGTTCAGAGTTCTGGCAAAGAAGATCGTAAATTCTTCTTGCCTCTTCTGAGGGTCGATACATGTCGCTGGTCACCTGTGGAATAAACGGGGCAGTTCGATAGAGCTACTAGAATCAATGTCTTCTTTTTTGGTTGACCGGTGCCCGCAATATGTCTGCACATAAATGCATCAAGGCTTCATAAATAGCTTCAAAATATAATGTCTCATGCTTAGCCCTGGTTACCGGTATCTGAGGCATGTGGGATGGGCATCCCCTTGCATCAATAGTCATCTCATCGTCTCCTGTCTCGAAGCAGACTCCGACCATCACCGAGTGACCGTATCGAAAACATGCAATTATGACATAGTATTGTACTTATCAAGAAGGGAATACCAGTGCTTTCTATAGCGTCAATGGATGCATTAACGATCGTCCCTCGCTGATGCAATCTGTTGTCCCACCTCCGAATTGGGAACAAGTACAGAGTAATATGTGTACAAACCGAATAGGAGACGAGGAAAACGCACCTGTTCGTGATACATTCTTCGTAGTATCATTTGGCAACCCTGCGGTAGTACGGAGAATGCAACCTCATCCAGTGGATCTGTGACGCTATTCACCGTTCTTACAGAAATTGGTCAGATGATGTGCGTAATCATCTTCCCGAGGAGTGTCCCTAATGGTCTACTTTGGCTACACGAAAGTCAAGCAACATGGAACGTCGCGTACTCGCCAGGATAATCCTGCAATGCGTGGGCTTGCTCTTCTATCCAGACCGCGTTCCGGTTCCAGCCATGCCATTTTGCATGCGGTTCATCTGCAAGCAAGATAAAGTTAGAAAATGCTGTTCCTTGAGCAATTCATACATTCGAAGAACTATAAAATGGGAGATCTCGGTGCATACTTTTCCGATTTGCGGATAGTACCATCAAACACTCCATTTCTGCTTATATCTGGTCCAAGCCTTGGCCTTATCTCCCCTGATCCAGTCGAGCCTCCACTTGTCAATTCACTGGCACAATGACCGTGAATTCTATAATAGATATCCTCCGCAAAGCAGCAGACCATCAGGAACCTCGTGGTGTCTGTGCCTATTCGACCGGCATCGCTGGGTTCGGTTCCGTAACGAGGTTAAGTTACACAGAGCTCGATTCATTGGCCACATCGAATGCTATACTACTACGCCGGCTGCAGTGCGACACCGAGTCTCCTGTCATACTACTTCACTTTGAAGACCATCTGGACAATATCATATGGTTTTGGTCTACCTTATATGCAGGCTACATTCCTGCAATGTCCACTGCTCTGCCTCGAAGTGAAGAACACCGCACAAGGCATCTCTGTCATCTAAGCGAGCTGTTCGATAAGTCTATCTGTCTAACTCGGAAAACCCTCCAAAACCTGCTCACAAGAGAGTCTCCCTTGCACGTTGTGGCTATAGAATCATTGAATGGTTCACCAGCAGAGTTTGTCGCTACGACAGAAACCAGTTCCGGAGCACCATTAAATAGCGGTGGTGGGCATCCTGCTCTGCTGATGCTCACATCTGGAAGTACTGGTCTGCCAAAAGCCGTGTCTCTAACACACAACCAGATACTGGCCTCCCCTCCAAGGGAAAAGCCATTCGCTATGTGTTGAGGACACTGGTCATTCGTTCTTGAATTAGATTCGGCTCGACCACGTCGGGAGTTTAATCGAGATCCATCTCCATGCACTATTTGTCGGGTACGGCCAAGTTCACGTTCTGCCTAACGAGATAATATCTCGTCCGGCCTTGTTCCTCGATCTCATAAGTCGACATCGTGTAGTTAGGACGTTCGCGCCCAACTTTTTCCTCGCTGAAGTTGGCCGTTATTTGGAGACCTCCCAAGGAGAAGATAGACCTCACTTTGACTTGAGATGTCTACGATACATCGTGTCTGGTGGGGAGGCTGTTGTTGCCAGTACTTGTGCCAAAGTGTCTCGATTGCTGGTCCAACACGGCGCACCTGAAAATGTCATCGTCCCTGGATTCGGCATGACTGAGACTTGCGCAGGGTGCATCTACAACTTGGAATTTCCTGCATTTGATACTCGCAACGAAAATGAGTTTGCTTCCCTGGGAAAGTGTGTCCCGGGCGTTCAGGCACGGATCGTCTCCATAGCTACGGGTGACAGTCCCGCGGCCTTAGGAGAGGAAGGCCACCTGGAACTCAGAGGTCCGCTTGTATTTTCTGGTTATTACAACAATCAAGCAGCAACCAGTGAGGCTATCGGCCCCGATGGCTGGTTTCGAACTGGGGATACGGGTTACATCGGCGCGGGCGGCAGGATAAGTCTGTCGGGTAGGACTAAAGAATTGATCGCCGTCAACGGTGTCAAATATGTTCCGCATCAGCTGGAAGCCGCTATAGAGGAAGCAAGCATACCAGGTATTGTTTCTGGCTGTGTGATATGCTTCTCATTCCGTCCCAAGGGTGCAGACACAGAGCGACCTTGCGTCATCTACCAGCATACCTATTGCGTCAACGATGCTAAAGCTAGATATCAGACGATGACTGCCATATCGCACCGTATCACGATGATAACGAATATGCGCCCGTATATATTGCCTTTACAGACTGTAAAACGCACATCCTTGGGGAAGCTTCCTCGCTCTAGCCTGCAGCGGGAGGTTGCAAGTGGTCAGTACAAAATGCAAGAAGCTATCGATAGAGACATGATCAAGAAGTATCGGCAAGCCATATTCAGGCCACCCGAGTCACCTACCGAAAAAGTGATCGTGGAAGAGCTGTCAGAACTCCTGTCCCTACCTCAAGAAGACATCGGAATCGACACGGACCTCTTCGAACTAGGCCTTACCTCATTAACGCTTATCCGGCTCCAACATGCCTTGCGAACAAGGTTGTCACTAAATGAGCCAATCCCTCTCGCCACGATGATTGCCCATAACACTGTCCGTGGTTTATCCGAAGCATGCCAACAGCATCACCAATACATCCCAGCCGTGAAGCTCCAATCCAGCGGCAACAAGACACCTCTATGGCTCGTACACCCTGCCGCAGGCGAAGCCCTCATATTCATCAACATAGCCAAGCTCATCACAGACCGACCCGTCTACGCATTCCGGGCCCGCGGATTCCACCACAATGAGCCATATTTCACCAGCATCGACGAATGCATCCGCACTTACCACTCCTCCATGAAGAAGCTTCAACCGCACGGCCCTTACGCTATCCTCGGATACTCCTACGGCACGATGCTAGCATTCGAACTTGCCAAGTCCCTCGAGAAAGCAGGTGACCAAGTCCAATACCTTGCCGGCCTTAACCGTCCTCCATATGTTAGTCCAATCCTGAAGAGAGTTACATGGACCGACTGCCTAGTTAACATCTCCTACTTCCTCGGACTTCTTTCTCGAGACTCATACCGGACTCTCCTTCGGGAGATCTCTGGGTTTCCGAAGCATGATGCCTTGGCCAGAGTGATCGAGAAAGTGGATCCTGGCCAGCTCCTGGCGTTGAGCCTCGATGAAGGTAGTCTAGAACAGTGGATCAATGTTGCCTTCAGCCTACAGGAGATAGGAAGAGAATATGAGCCGCGTGGTGTGGTGAATGCGCATATGGATGTCTTTCATTGCACTCCATTGGAGTTCCTGAATGTTACACCTGAAGAATGGAAGCGACGTCTGGCTGCCTGGGAGAATTTCTCCGGACAGAAGGTAAACCTGAGACATGTACCAGGTGACCATGCTAATGTCTTGGGACCGGATCATGTGCAGGTGTTTGTGAAGAAGTTGGGTGAGGCTATGGCGTTGCAGGGTCTTTAGTATCCAGTCTCTGTGTCTTCGCTTGGAGCAGTGTAGTGGCAGTATATGAGTTTATTTGCTCTCATCTACATTGCAAATATTTCCCTTTCCATTTTTTCCCCTGGGGAGTTTCAGCGGGTCTGTGGGTGTCTAGATTTGGAAAGGAATGAGGAAGAATGGTGTTAACCGCAGCCACACGATCATCCTTCCGCTTGCAGTGCAATGATGTCCTACCAACCCTACCATTGATACTTAGCCTATTTTATTGCCTATATAATCCCTTCCAATAAACTGATAAGTACATACGACCACAGGGTGTGGAAAATAGGGCTTCCCGTCCGCTCAGCCGTACTCAAGCCACACGCCGGGAGGTTAGTAGTTGGGTGGGTGACCACCAGCGAATCCCTTCTGTTGTATGTAATTTTCTTTTTTTCGATAATTCTCTTTTTTTCTTGTCGAACCTTTCTATATATGGCTCAGTCAGCTTCTAGTGTATTGGTTTGCTGTATTGTCTCTGATTTACCATACTAGCTATGTCCATTTCCGTACTAAGATTCGTCTTTAGCTCAATCTTAACACTTTGTTTGCATGGCAGCAGCAGATCTTTTTATTGACATGAACAATAACATGGAAGATGAACGCCCAAACATTTAGACAGGGAGGTATGATAATGGCACCAGCATGCTTCCCATAGGCTAGGATACCACCGAACAATAACAAGACCATTGCATGTGAGACCTGATGACGAAAGGAACCCTCAACGGCTCCAAAGTATGCCTCGTCGAATCCGGGAACATCGGTATATATTGAGCCTAATTCCTCCTCGAGCATAGCATCAATATTAGCAACGTGATCATTCAAATTTGGGCTGGCGCTGCTGGAATGTGAATATGGAATGTGCTTGAAGTACGACGCGGGATGAGGATGTGGGGTGGATTCTGCCGCAGCAGCATAGACCTTATCCCAGATTCTGTCATCCAACTCACAGCTAAGGATCGCATGTAATAGTGGTATCAGATTTTCAAACTGAAATTCGTTGGCATTGATTCTCGAGGTTAGGATTATGAGGCCACTCAGGAGGTTTTGGCGTCCAGCAACGGGAGGTAATACACGGGAGGCAGGAAGCGCCTGCAAGGCGACGACCAGGTCCAGTGATATACTCTTGCGAGCTAGAGTCACTGTTAGAAGCACTCAAAGGATTGGAAGCTTTACAACTTTCATTTTCGAGATTATATAGGTGAGTTCACACAGTATGGGAGCCCTAAATCCTCGCATGTTATCGCTAGCTTAGCGTGGAAGGCATCCATTCTAGCGCCAATCGGCTCTTGCTCGATGATCTCTGCTCTGGAAGATCCAGTCATTATGGATATCACAAAACAAAATCAACAACAACAAAAGGTGTGCGGGATTTTAAAAAGAAGACGCTTGTGAGGCAGTCAAGCAAAGACTAGGCCGGGTGCACGCTGATGAATGACAATAATTATGTCGTTTATCGGGGTGTCTTATTATTGACGGATAGTAGATTGTCCGAGGAACGGGCGCTGTTCCCAAATCATCACAAGAATGCTGACTGATTCTGTATTATTGAAGAGTTTGAGCGCGTACTTACTGGTTCTCTGATTGTATCAAATGAATCACTGGTACAGTCACTGAGCGCGTTGTACTGGGCGATCTGTGTACCACAGTTGTGAATCGGAGATAAGCAATCCAGCCGAGGACACCCCACTGTTTTCCTTGCCGCATGTGCCTTGCATGCCAAATAACAGGGACTCGGAAGCCTCTCATTGCGGAGACACTGGTCATATGCTTACTTCTGATTCATTTACTGTTGCTTCCCATTCCTCAATACCATCAGCCCATCCGTCAACCTCACTCGTGATGACTCAACCTCTTCACCTTCCATCCACAGAAGCTTTACCACCATATGACATACTCAATTTTTGGTACGGTGCTGGCACTGATACTGAGTTAACTATATTCTGCTACGGGAAAAGATTCAATATAACCGTATCTGCCGATAATCTACAAGGAGATCCCGATGTCGAAAGCGAATATTTGTCCCTGCTTCGGAAGCTTGATTCCGACGAGCTTTTCGAGCAGGAAGATGATAAGGGCGATCCAATGGAACAGCTGTGTTTCTGGATAGCTTTCAAATGTAACTCTCAGATGAGAGCCCTGGGTTCCAAACAACAACCACAATTACACACGCTCTATGATTGGTTTTATCCTGAAACCATCATTCTAACTCCTATGATCATTGATGGAAAACTGCAAGCGCATTCATCTACACCGAGCCAGCAGCTCCTGCAGGACATGTTACCAAGTGTGGAGTTGACCTGCTCGATTGCAGACTTTAAGATTCCAGTTGTGACGTCTTCGAAAGTCTTCTTACCACAAGATATGGCAGGAGGAGACTTACCCCAACGACCAACAAAAGTCTTCACTGAGCACGGAATGCCACGGTTCTTCAAGCCTGCTTATGTCATGGAACCCGCAATTCGAGAGATATCCACATTGCTCCGTATCCAAGAACTTGGCTTATTGAACATTATCCGTGCACCTAAGGTTCATGAGTTTGTGGATTCTCAAGGCGACTCATCCAAGATATCAGGCATTTTGATGGACTATATCGAGCATCGTGACAGTTTGGGATATATTGATATCCCAAGCACGCCTTTACCAGTTCGGAGAAAATGGATAAGCCAGGTACAGCACACGATAGAAACGTTACATGCTGCGGAGATAGTTTGGGGCGATGCGAAGCTGGACAATATCCTGGTTGATGTTGATGATAATCTGTGGATTATCGACTTTGGCGGGGGCTACACCCATGGCTGGGTCGATGAAGACAAGCAGGAAACTATCGAGGGGGATAATCAAGCACTTTCTAGGATAGTTGATTTTCTAGTAGGAAAAAGCTCGGAATAACTGTCTCATTCAGTGCATGATAGAAAAGAGAGCGACTTCCCTTTCTTTGTCAACAGTGTAGTAGTTGAGAACTGTTCGCGGAGTAAATATTCCCTGATTATTTATATTCATTCTCATGCAAGAAAATCATCGCCCAGCCTTCTGAATCCCTTATTCATGAGGAGATATAGCCAAGTGCCGTTGTTAAGAAAGCACAACCAGGACCGGACAACCTCAAAAGGCAATTGAATGCTAAATGGGGATTATTGATGCTATTCTACACAGCAGAACTATTCTTAACATTCCTTCGAGCAAGGTCCCACAGTCTGGACATTCTCAATATCCCGACTTAAGTGGATTCTTAAAAATGGTGCACTTCTTACTACGGAGACAGCAACTTAATTCCTCTTCTGGATGGAGACCTAAATTATCTGTACGGCTTATCTAATACGTAAATAGGATAAAATCGGGTTTATCGAGCTGATGGTACAAATAAGCAGGCCTCATCAACGTGAGCGTAGAACTAAACCTGTCGTCAAACGACCTGGCGTTAGTTGTTCCTCTGATAATGGCCCCTTGGGTGAGGACAACCTAGGAGCAACAAAACCCATAACACTGGAAAATTAATAGGTAACACCGCGCCAGAGCTAATATATTTGGATAGTCATCGACTATGTAGGCGAGTTCACGTCTACCAAGTGTTGGCTATTATATGCGGCGATGATGTTCCAGGCCGAACGGATCGACCTAACTGGTCTTTTCACAACCGCAAAGCTGACAAGAATCCAGAGGATTCTGGCCTAGAACGGCGCTGGTAAGATAACGGCCTTTGCAACATTTACTACCTTGATCAGAGGCACACTATTGCATGCACATGAGCCATTTGAATATTGCTAAAAAGGGAGACAATGACATGAAAGTTCAGTACATCAGTATTCAAATCGTATGTGGAACTTCTCTTGCTGCCTTATCGCCCACAGGTCTGGCTGCCACGGCGGAAACGAAGAGAGTCGCAGAAAGAATAGTCAGGAGCTTCATATTGCTATTGTTACGTGTAGGGTAAATTGCCGCTTTGATCGAGTCTGTTCGTGATCGCCTAAAAGTCGGCCAATATTACGGCCTAATCCCCATCGTACGAAGAGGGATTCTGTTAGTACCCTGTAGGTGATCGCGATGCTACTAAGTCTCTGTTACCGCACGGTTCCAAGGAGCCATCCTCTCGGCCAATCACAGACCATGGCCGCAGACAAGGGTTCTTCCGACTAAGTGAATGCTGTAGTATCTGACTGGTGCAGTTGTGCGCAGATAAGGAACTGCAAGGTTTAACGGAGAACTAACTCAGTAGTCGCCTTAGTTCCAGATAAAGACAATTTTCTGCTGCTGCCTAGAAAAGATCTCCCCTATGTAGCTGATTAGATTGCTTACGGTGCTTATCTTTAAAAGCCATTTGACTTCGATTTTATCACCTGAAACCATTGTAAGCCGAAAATCACGGTACTGGTTCGCATTTGGTGTCTTCTATTTACTAACATGGAAAGCTTATGTAGCTCTGCAGCTGATCAGACAATTGGGCCCCCAATCCATGGCTGCTCCTACCTGGACTTCACCCTTCTCTTTGAGCAGGTAATATTTGGCATTATCCCATCGGCATGTTTTCTCCCAGCCGTAGCCTGGAGGCTGCTGCAGCTCTTTGGGCAATCCGGGAAGATCACATTGACATCAAGTCAGCATGCGAAGATCTCGATTTGGGTGAAGATCATTCTGAGCATCGCTTTGATCTGCAGCCAAATTACCTTATTGATGCTCTGGGCGATGGCTCCGCAACATTACAATAAAACCACCATTGCATCGGCCTGCCTGTCATTGATATGCTCCCTCGGCATACCGATCCTGTCCTGCCACGAGCACATACGATCCGTTTCGCCCTCCAATCTGCTTTGTATCTATCTCCTATTCAGCACATTGTTTGATGGCGTACAAGCCAGGACATTATGGTTGCGATTCCCTTCTACTATCGCGGGAACATGTACTGCAGGCCTGGGTGTTCGTTTCTTGTTGCTCATAGCAGAGTCACAAGAGAAACAGACATATCTGAAGCCTCAATTCGCTGATTATTCTCCAGAGAAAACGGGGGGCATGGTTAATCGTATCGTTTTCTGGTGGCTGAATCCCTTGTTGGCTCGCGGGTCTCGCGGGTTGTTAAGTCCCAGCTATCTATTCCCTATTGATCCCAACCTCTCGGCTGAAGTAGCGCAGGCCAAGTTCGAGTCGAAATGGTCACTGAGTACGTTACGTCCTCTACATATCAAGTAATTCGACGTCATTGACGTTACATATAGCAATGAACTATCGCCGTGGAGGACAATATAGGTTACTGCTGGCAATATTGTCTTGCGTTCGGCGAACTTTGATATGGACGGCAATCCCCCGGATCGGTCTGATCGGTCTCAAAATTTCACAGCCGTTATTTTTGAATTGTGTCATTCGATATCTCTCCGTTTCTACCAAAGACAGTGCTGTTGGAGGGGCGCTTGTTGGAGCTACAGTCCTGATCTATTTGGGAACGGCAGTACGCTTTTATACCAACCAATCATTTACCCGTTAAAGGCATGAAGCACACTGACAAAAAGTCTGTCCAGGCTACGACATCGCTATATATGCATGGGCTAAATCGTGCCACCACTGTGATTCGAAGTGTTTTAATTACTACTCTCTATGAAAAGACACAGCGACTGGACACTGTTACGGTCAATAACTCAGCTGCGCTAACATTGATGAGCACCGACACAGAGACCATCTGCAACAGCTTGATGCGATTAGACGCCCTATTCGCTTCGCCCATCGAGGTCAGCCTTGCCATATTCTTCCTTGCACGACAAGTAGGTTGGGCATGCTTAGCATCGGTTGGCTGTGCCCTGGCAGCTGTATCCCTCAGCTATGTTGTAGCCGCCCGGTCACCCCCACGCCAGAGAATATGGAACCAGGCTGTCCAAGAGCGCGTTGCAACCACTGCGTCAGTTATCGGTTCTATTAGGAGCATCAAGATGCTGGGTATCTCTTCTTTTATAGAGCGGCGGATAAGTGACCTCCGTAACTTCGAGCTTGAACGCGCTCGTGGGGCCCGGATGCTTATAATGTGGAGAAACGTTGTTGGTATATCTTCCTTATCCACACTCCAGCGAGAATATCATACTGATCGGCCGCTACAGCAAACATACCACAAATTGCCGGACCGATTCTGACCTTCACGATTTCCACAATGGTCTCCGGAAGTGGTGTGGTCACTTCAACGAACTCCTTTACCGTTCTCGCCCTGATTGCTTTAGTCACTCAGCCTATCCAAGTCTTTGTTCATGGAATAACCCAAGTAGGAGTTGCTCTAGGTTGCTTCAAGCGCATTCAGGACTATCTTCTATTGCCAGAAATTGAGACTGGTCGAATTTCTTATCACAGTGACGATCATCAAACATCAGGTAAAGTGGCCCCCGGGAGCGTGTTTCAGCTGGAAGCCCTCCCCACGGATGGCAGGTGTCTGTCTGTCCAAAAAGCCAGTTTCAAATATGCAGATGCTACCACACCGCTTTTGACGGACATAAACATCGAGATACGCCCCTCTACGCTGACGATCGTCACAGGAGCTACCGGCTCCGGGAAATCTTCGCTACTCAAAGGCCTCATAGGAGTTGTACCCTGCATCGCTGGTTCTTACTCAAAAGACGTGGCAATAGCTTACTGTGCACAAGAGCCCTGGTTGCCAAATGTCTCCGTAAGAGAAGCCATAATTGGCCCTTCTTACTTTGATGAAAATTGGTATACCGCTGTTATCCATGCATGTGCACTTGACGAAGACATTGCCACATTTTCCGAAGGAGACAGAACCTGCGTTGGCTCCGGTGGCACTTCCCTGAGTGGCGGACAAAGGCAGCGCCTGGCAATAGCGCGTGCCATATACTCGCACAGAAAGCTCCTAATTCTCGACGATGTACTCAGTGCACTGGACATCATCACTTCCAGAAAAGTCTTTGATCGCGCATTTGGTCCGGAAGGACTATGTAAAACCCACCATGTTGCGGTTGTTCTTGCCTGCAGTGATCCCGAGCGCGCTTTCTCACCTGATGTGGTCATAAAACTCCGAAATGGAACGGTCACGTCAGGAATCTCGACTGATATACTTTCTGAAAAGATCATCACCTTACAGAGTGAGAGCGAAGCAAGACCTACCGATGAACGACACCCCGTGACAACAGGAACAAAAAACAAACTCATAGAGTCCCGCCAGGACCTACCACGCCGGCTTGGTGACTTCTCTGTCTACCGATACTACCTTAAATCAATGGGCTGGAAATCATCCGCCTGCTTCTTATGCCTCATAGTCGTGCAAGTATTCGGCTCCAAATTCCCTACTCTATGGCTCCAATACTGGTCCGACCATGACTTCAATTACTCCCTCAGCGTATACCTAGGGGTCTACGGAGCTTGCGCCTTTATCCAGCTTATTGGCACCATCCTAAGCATCACATTCCTCATCATCTTCCTCGTCGCAAAAAGCTCCCGCCGTTTACACACACAGCTACTAACCGCTACCATAAATGCACCCTATTCATTCTTCACCACACATGACAGCGGAACCATCCTGAACCGATTCAGCCAAGATCTCTCCCAAATCGATAACCAACTATCCGGCGCGCTTCTTATGACGATCTTCGGTGCCGGAACGCTTATTGCCGAAGTCATGCTTATTGCTGCAGGAAATAAATACATTGCTATTACGGTGCCGTTCGTGATCACTGTTTTCTACGCCCTGCAAAACTTCTACCTGCGCACTTCACGTCAGCTACGGCTCATGGAACTCGAAGCGCAAAGTCCGCTCTACACGCACTTTCTTGAGACAGCCTCCGGCACGGATACCATCCGCGCATTTGGCTGGCAAGCTGCATGGGCGGCGCGGTGCCGACAGTTAGTCGATAGGGCAATCCAGCCGTATTATACAATGTTCTGTATACAACGCTGGCTGAACCTCGTTCTCGACCTCCTGGCAGCGGGACTGGCAATTATTGTTGTCTCCTTGGCCGTTACCCTAGGCTCATCGGTGCATACTGGCGCGATTGCAGTTTCTTTGCTGAATATCCTGGGCTTCAGCAGCAGCCTGTCATACCTCATAACTTCGTGGACGCAGTTGGAGACGACGCTTGGCGCTATTGCTCGCGTCAAAAGCTATGAAGACACTGTTCCGAAAGAAGATGCCCCAAATAGTGGGCTTATCCAACAGCCTACGGGTGACTGGCCATCTCGCGGCTCGATCAGGTTCGACCATGTCTACGCAAGCTACGACGCACAACAGAGTCCCCATCAATGCATTTTGCGCGATATTGCCCTTAATATCCATCCTGGAGAGAAGGTAGCTATTTGCGGCAGAAGCGGAAGTGGGAAAAGCTCCCTCATTCTCCTGCTTTTCAAACTTCTCGATCCCATCGCGGGCTCCGTGTTTATTGACGGGATAAATTTACGCGATGTTCCCTGCGACGTTCTACGAGCCCGACTTACCGTAATCCCCCAAGACCCTCTGATACTTCCAGGAACACTACGTTTCAATCTCGACCCCAGCGGAGAACAATTCTCCGACGAGACAATGTGTTCCGCTCTGGCTACAGTAGGTTTAGGGATGGATCGAAGTACACGACAACCCTATTCTCTGGACCTTCAAATAAGTGAGGGGACTTTCTCACGAGGCCAATGCCAGCTTTTGAGTCTAGCGAGAGCGCTCCTCCGTCAAACAGAAACGAAGATCCTTGTTTTGGATGAAATCAGTGGGAATGTTGACGTTGCTACGGAGCGGTTGATGTTCCAGATCATTAGGAACTGTTTCGAGCATGCGACTGTAATTGCAGTGACGCATCGACTGAGATGCATTCGGGAGTTTGATCAGGTTGTGATCATGCAGGATGGCTGTGTCGTGGAGACTGGGAGGCCCGGGGAGTTGCTTGGTGGGCGGAGTTTGTTTAGGCAGTTGTGGGATGAACAGTGAGCCTTTTCCGAGATTCGGGTCGGAGATGACGAGGTAATCTTTTTTTATGACAAACGCCTCTTGACTTGTAGAGTGAATTAACCTATGTATTCCATTGAAGCCAACTGCCATTTCCATTGGAAGTACAACATCCGCATCTCTAAGTCCGAGCAGTCATACCTTCTCTCACTCGCACGATAAGCACTCGAGAGTGATCCATGCTAGTTACATATAGTTTGACCCCGTCTGATTAAATTGAAGTTCCTGTCACGTGTGACTACTAGGTAATGTTGTAATAACCCTCGTCCAAGCCGAAAAGTTTGTTCTGTTATTACATGAATTCGTTTCTGCTCTTTTGGTAGAGTAAAAGAGACAACGCTGTCATCTATGCTATCAAAAGAGAAAGAACAAGACAGAATGCCTCAGACGTGCTGTCGTAACAACTTACTACTACTTTTGGAAGGATTCAGGCCTTATCTGCTAACAATTAGCCTAGGCCCCTGTATAAGATAAGGTGGGACTACAAGCGGCAATCAATATGCCGATTAGTTAATCAAATAACCCCTACTAGCACTCTGGGTTCCAGCCTTGTGGAATGCTTGACGTGTCTTAATGCAGTGGTGGAGAGTAGTCGTTAATTTGAGTGGGGATTTACTTTTTATTTGGTACAATGCACAGGGATTGATAGGGTGGTACTGCGTATTTGAGCTCTTTTGAGGTAGATAAGCCTGGTCAAGTTATATTACTCTCTCGCTCACTTTCTCTTGGGAAGGTATAAAACCAGAGACGTAGGACACCGTACTCAGTCTGGATCTATCCTTTAGTAGTGGTCTTATGTATCTTAGATATGTTCATTAGATTCTCAAGGCAGTTTGGTTCATAATTGAACCATCCAACAGATCAACGGTCTACACAGTATTACTTATACATATAACCACAGATCTACCGTGAAGCGTGGATGCCACTACGTCTACCTGAATAAAGGAAATAACAGATCCTGGGAGGATTGGTGTATCTGCTAGTATGTTCAAATGTGAGATAATTATGCTTGTGGACAGTACCTCGATTCATATATGCGGCTATTGTTGCCTGATCGATGGCGAAGATAGTCCTTGCTTGCACACCATCTCATTTAGTTATCGTACGTATCTCATGTACACTATGTCCAGCAGTAAAGTAAGCGCATTAGCATACCTTGAAACCTCATATGATGTCCCTACCTTCCATTCATGTATGGATAACCCGAACACTGAGAGTTCTGCGTAGTAAGAAAGGTAAAATAGGCAGAAACGGCCGGAGGAATAGTAGTATTAAAGTACCATTTCACATGTGCGATAACAACTAGTAATTTGACTGATAAGATACTGCTAGATATAAAAACTAAGCTGCGGCACCCTCCAGAAGCCTAGTGTTGAATGAGTACTATTTAGTAGTTAGTAATCCCTCCCTACTAGTTAGGTTACTTAGTACGACTTCTTCACTACTAGTAACCTCCACCATCTAATTACTGATATCCCGGTATACTAATCTACTATACCCGGATCCTCACAATCATGAAAGTGACTCTTACACTAAAACGACCCCCCTCCGCTGATGACATTACCTACCTCCATCAGTCCCTCAAGGCCATTCATCCGGAAGTTACTGAAACCTCGCGCGAGGATCTCCGCATCAGCTTTGCGGCCCCTACAACAGACATTGAAGCTTTTGTGGATTTATTTAGTTCATGGCTTCATTCTTCTTCGCCGGATGTGATTATGGAGGGGTATGCTGTGGTTTCTGATATATGATATTTCTCTTGTTTTCCCTCTCTTTTTGTGGACTCGGTCTGCTCTTTCTCTTCCATTTGTTTTCTCTTGATTTTTAGCCTTGGGGAATGACAAATTTGATGGTTGTGTGATGTGTTTCACTGTAGTCTGATGCTGTTTTAACTTTGTACAATATAGTTTTTGATATGGTTGATCGTACGCAAAGGTAGTAGATGGGTTGAAATGGTTTTTCGTTACTAGTTAGGCCAGAGACCTCAATGTCAGCGGTATTATCTGATAGATCCCAGGAAACTAGCGTATCTGTTAGTATAGTAATCACATGTGCGATACCCATGACTATGGACAGCTCCTTCAGCCTTGTTGCCGTTGTAGCCGCGGCATCATCAGCATGAATGTCTCTTGGGCTACTTGGCTAATCTATCTTTCTAGATAGATTGCAGGATCTGAGTTGGCAATCTTCACACTGAGTGAGAAGTCTGGGAAAATTCCGATTATGACGCAATGCCCTGCCATAGCCTTGCACCCATGACACTGCCATGCGACGGTTACTCTCGGGGTCAGACTTGTGAGGCTCTAAATAAATAGTGGCAGGGCACAAACACTGCCCTCCTGAGCAACATACTTAGTAAATCGGTCAACAGATAGGCTCGGACGAACTGCCACGAATCTTGGATAGTCTAATGGACGCTAGGCGATGGACTTGAGAGGACATCCCGCGATGCAAGCCGCGGACTGGGGACGGTGTCTTGTAGCGACCCCACCAAGGCGGGATGGAGTGGAGCCGTTGATTGGGGCAACACGGCGTGCTTTCTCCACGGCCCTTTCTGTGGATGGCAAAAAAAGATCAATCGAGAAGGCCAGCTGAGTTGCGTTGAGCTGCAAAAGGCTGGGATTGAAATTGTTGTTACGTCAGCTTCTGACTTGGCGGGCACGAGAAGCGAGCAAGCGAGCTTCTCATTGCGCTGTCTCTGTCGCAGTTTGCATGTGTAGCTCACCCCGCCGAAGTTAGATGCATATCGCTCGACTGGTAGGAACTCAAGGCAGCGGGCTCACGCAACGGGGGAATTTTTGTAACGTATCCAATTGCTTGAACCTACTTTGTTAACAGCCCCCGATCATCGTCGAGCTTAAACTGGGATGGGCATGATTTGCGAGGGAAAAGGCTCTCTGCCTCTCCTTAAAAGGTCCCCTGAATAGTTCCACAAGTCACGGATGATCTATCTATATCCCCTATATCACTTAGAGGATATGGAGTACGGGGTAGAACGCACATGGTAGCTGGAATCATGACAGCCTACGGTTAACGGTTGCGACACATGCTCATGGCGGCTCTGATTTGAGTAACCCCACATAAAAAGACTCATGCAGTAATCAGCTCATGACTTGCGCCAGAGCCAATAAGGTAGTTCGCCGTGGCCCCTGCAATGATATGTACGACAGAGGCCGGTGTTCGCGTCGCCCAAGTAACGTCAGGAGAGGCAGGTCGGGCGTTTACAGCCTCCCGCCGAGTTGTTCAGCCCGCTTGGGATCATCGGGATCATCGTGGGAAGGGAAACGCTGTCGGGAAGCAAAGCAAAGCAGCACCGCCTCAGGTGGGACTCGTTACTAAGTGACTGGCCCAGTCCCTGTGCACCACCGTGTCTCAGAATCAAGGGATTGGGGGCCTGGCCCCCGGGTTTGAGATCTCGCTTCAGGGGAGTAAGACAAACGATAATACAGAGTACCAAGGAAAATAAAATCGGGGGGAATGAATGGGAGGGAAAGGCTTAGCACTGATCACATCGCAATTTATAGAAGCTGGCCATCAAACCACAAGGGATGGCGACGGGGAGGGAGCCAATGAGAGCCACCAGGAGTTGAGTACCGCCAACCGACCGGGGAAAGATCGGCCAGCGACAAGTGTTTCAGCCACGAAAAACCAGGGAATCTTCGCGATCGCCGCGTCATGCGTTGATGTTGCCCTCGACTCTCTTGCCTTTTCTCCCCCAATGCACGGCCCCAGTCAGGGTCGACACTCCCCTGACGACTGCTGCTCAGCTAGTAGTAGTATATTACGCACACAATGGACGCAATGAAAGTGCGCCCGTCTCCTTCGGCGCTTTCTCCACCTCTTCCCCTTGACCTGGGTGCGACTGCCCTTACAATGCGATCCATTTCTTCCCAGGTTCATCTCTCTTCATCTGCCCTTTCGCGATGGCGCTCTCCGGTTGCTCTCGCTGGCGCCTACGACAAAGCTATCATCTTTGCCTCTTCTATATCACAGGCTTTCTAAGTTTCTTGTGCATCATCGTCATCTGGTATTGCGTCAATACCGACCGCGACTATATTCACCCACTGTTGACCCAGCTGATCCCTGCCGGACACTGCGCCTGTCAAACTTCCACCACTTTCCAGTGCGCCAGCTGCCTGACATGTTCGCATCCGGGCCTGGTGCAACAGCTCTCTCCAGCTCCGGCGTGGGAATTTCAGCCTGCTCGAGACGGCAGCAATGAAGGTCTTGATCGGGCCCAATGTACGAATGCATTCCCTGGTCTCTTCGAAGATGTTGTTCGCGCCACGGCCTTTTGGAAGTCTCAGGGCGCGCTGGCTATGGAGGACTTGGACGAGATTCCTCTAGCATATGGCATGGCGCGGGCGTTCATCCACGCTGGTGAGCTTTATGTGGTTGCTGCGCGGTCCAAAGGTGAAGACCATCGACGCAAGATCGTCGCCGTGTTGAGTTCAATCCACCGGGCGTTAGTCGCCGATGCCAACCGTACCTCGCGACGAGATATCGAATTTGTGTTCTCCGTGGAGGACAAAGTGGAAGATGTGACCAATTCCGATCATCCTGTCTGGACTCTGGCACGGTCTGCCACGGAGGAGGCTGTCTGGCTAATGCCTGATTTCGGATTCTGGGCCTGGGAGAATATTCAGAACTCAATTGGGCCATACGATCAAGTTGTTAACCGTATCAAACGCGCGGATATTCCTTGGTCGGAGAAGAAACCACAGCTGGTCTGGCGAGGAAAGCCTAGCTTCGCCCCCAAATTGCGCCGCGCCTTGATGGAAGCCGCGCGAGATCAGCCGTGGGGGGATGTGAAGCAGGTTGACTGGGACCAGAGGACGAACATAATACCCATGGAGGATCATTGTCAGTATATGTTCATCGCGCATGTCGAAGGTAAGCTTTGCCTCTTAAAGCTAGCGATGCCCGACCGCATCTGTACTGACTGGGATGCGTAATGCAGGTCGCTCGTATTCCGCGTCTTTGAAATACCGGCAAGCATGCAACTCGGTCATTGTGGCGCATAAGCTGCAGTATATCCAGCACCACCACTACCTTCTCGTACCAGACGGGCCACAGCAGAATTATGTCGAAGTTGAACGGGATTTCAGCGACTTGTCGGACAAGCTGGAGCCTCTATTGGCCGACCCCAGTCTTGCGGAGCGGATTGCCAACAACAGCGTGCGAACTTTCCGCGACCGGTATTTGACCAAAGCAGCAGAGGCCTGCTACTGGCGCACGCTTTTCGAGGGGTATGGCAGCGTTTGGAACAGCAGCGTCCCCGTGTGGTCAGAAGCGTACCAGCGCGAACGTGGCCTCCGATACGAGTCGTTCCTCCTGATGGACAGCCAGCTGATGTTTGAGTTCGACGCGCTGCGGTTGACTTATTGACACCACTATCAATCACGCATGACATTATGGGTATAGACTATTTTCTTGGAGCATGGTGTTTGAGGGAGTTAAACAGAAGAGGTTCTTTTTTGATGTTTCACAGTCTCCTGTATGGCGATACTTTCGTTTGAGATACCACTGGGCGGGTGCCATTTTTGATTTATAGACCTGGTATATGTATAGTGCTGGCGATGACAGTCAGATGCAGGTTTTGCAAGCGAGCTAAACTATCGAATGCATGTTGAGATCCATTAGCTGTGCGGCCATGCGCCTGGTATGTCATGGCGCCGAAAGGCCACTAAGCACGCTGGATAAGCTGCGCGTAGCTCTGAGCCAACTACTAGGTAGTAACCATTTGTTACTGCGTTGAACTGGAGCCCGACCTATCAAGAAGTGCATATTACGTGCTATGAAGTAATTATGGAAAGCTTGCGTCGATAAATCATACCGCATTAGGTCGACGTGACCAGTCTGTTTGCCTTACGTGTTCACTGCTCACCCACCAGTTATTTTCAACCTTCCCGTTTCAACATCAAAACTGACTCTTCGACCACCAACCATCTAGAGTTCCGACGATCTCCTACTAACCTAACGGCAAAATGGTTACTAACGACGTCGCTGGCCGACTTGAGTATCTCTGGAAGGTATTGGTGTCGGAACCTCCTAAGGAGCTGGTGGACAGCGAGAATGAAGTAAGTGATATAGTCTTGCAACGATGCGAAATAGACCGCATTCATCACGAACGATGTTACTCTGAAATGGAGGTACAGGAACCTACAGAAATAGATGCCTACGGGCCGCCAACATTGTTGCGTTCCACTGGTGTGCCAATTCTCTTCCAGCCTATGTCTACTTCAGAACTTAGCAAGTACAATTTTATGGCATCAGGGCAGCCAATGGTAAGAGACTACGATCCCGCCAAAGCCGATGAAGACCCAGATCTTCAGAAATGCTCTATCCTCTCTTGGGGCTTTTATTTCTTACAATGGGTGTTTTCCGCCATGTGTCAATGCGAAGTGAAGGAAAATAAGACTATAAATGGACTACTTGAGCATTGCAAGCTCCGACCGATCAGGTAAGTATGAGAAGCATTGGAAGAGTCGTCTTTTCTATCCTCTCTATCTTTTCTCTAAATTAGGTCATGAACTGATAAATTTTCTAATAGCCTTCCTGATCCATTTCTGTTAGGCTGTAACCTACATGGAGCATATCCTTCGATTCAAGATGAGTGGGAACCTAACCTTATACTCGAGCCAGATAGGGTTGATAACTGCCGAATCTATCCTCATGTTACAATCGGCCTAGCTCTGTCACATCCCGGAAAAGAGACTTCAATGCTTTACGGGGAACTTGTGGCACTTGTATCTGCTATGCGGAGTCGTGCTATTCAGCCTCAAGTTTCCGATGATGAGGATGAACAGGAGGCATTATTTAATGAAAATCGTGAAGATATCAAGTGCATGCCTCGGGAGTTTGCAAATGAGACGAGATTTCCTGTTCTGCTTCTATCGTGTCCGGGTCCCCAGCATGCTCGTTACTTCTATGCTTGTATGGATGGGACACGGATGGTGATTATACAGTCTAAGCTTTACAGCTTTGAAAATCTGGGGACAGCGCCAATTCAGCTATTTATGAGGTTGGCAACGAGCCAGCCTTTATCCGAGGCAGGTCGAAAGGACTGAATTCATGCCAAGAACAGGTCGAAAGGACTGGATTTTATCATAACAACGGGTTGTATAAACCGGAATGATCATTTAGGCCCTCTATTCAGAAGAAAATTAAATTGCTGTCTCCCTATAAAGAAGTGCACCTATTCTGAAGTAACCCGCCCAAGTTCATAGTAGGTAGATAGGTTGGGGAAGGCTAGTGTCCGGGACCGTGCTCAAAGGAATGTTCAGAATACTTTCGCTGGGTGTAATAGCATCAATAATCCCCATCAAAATTCAATTGCCTTATCATGTTGTCTGATCCTGTCTTGCGCCCTTTTGACGAAACCTAGATGCATCTCCTCAGGAAAGAGGGATCTATACGGTTGAGAAGCGTACCTTGTAGTGTATGTCAATGTAACCAGTGAGCTCTCTCAGCTTCCCTCTTCGACAGGTCTCGCTGTCACGATGTACGTATCCTGAAAATGTTCTGTGGATCATAATAATACTTGCCAAGTCGACCTAAAGAAACCCTGCAGGTGGTGAGATGATATGGCGGGGAGAAGACAGCCGACCTGAGCAGAGCGCGTGAGTCTCCCGGGCGGGGAAGAGTGACACCTCTCAAAAGTTTGGCTGTCTCACTCCCCCAACCACCAGCATCAGCATCTCCCAGTTCAGCTCTTCCTCTCATCGGATTGGCTTATCTCTGACGATCTCGGCTAGTTTTCGCACCCACTTAGGTCGGGATTCTGCAGAATCCCAAGAGACTAAAGCATGCCACCGAGTCAGTGGGGAGGACGTGATTGCCTGTGATGCTTCACTTCCTTATTGATCGGCTTTACCATCCAGCCAGCTGGGTATGCCTGACCACAACCGGTGTGTGTAACCTCACGTCAATTCTTGCTTCTGTCAGTGCTGGCAATCGACGCCACCAAACCAAGGGATGTCATTCTCAATCTCTGGCAATGGTGGAAAACCGAAGAGTGGAGATCGGATCAGCTCCTCGGGTACCGGGACGGGACCAGACAATCGAGTAAACAAATCCATTGATCTTCGTGTTCTCCTGCCTCTCGACCAAATCTCCTTTCTTGTTAGTCACTGACCTCATTGGCTCTCCTAGAAGAACGATGCCCTCAGACATTACACCGCCAGCCCCTTTTCAAGTTTTAACTTTTATCACTTTACGAGTGTCCCGCTGACAATTGGTCCACCGTGAGTGGCATTCCTGCCGTCGCGTCAAGCAAGGAAGCTAGCTCACTCTGTTCCCCACGAACCATGATCTGTGCGGCGATCGGCTCCTCGTATGGGACGCCTGGACCACTGAAATTGCGACGGTGGAGCTTCCAAGGGAGCGGCCAGCCAACTATCGGAGGGATCTTCGGCGAGATTCAGCTCAGATGAGATTTGCAGCCACACACTTTCGTGCAGGACCATTCATAATGGCGACCGCCTGAATGGAGGTCGCACGGGCGAGGAGACAGGCTGCAGGGGCACACGTTCGCATTGAGGATGGTGGAATCAAACTATATAAGCTAGGCCCGCTGTGCTGGGCGCTGACGGCTCTTCTGCTTCTAATCCCTTTGTCCCACCACAATTCTTAATCATGCCGTCACCGATTCCCAAACCCCCGGGGGTGTTCCTCCTCGGCAACGTGAAGGATGTGGACGCTGCTAACCCCTGGAACTCGTTTAACAAGCTCGCGGCCAAATATCGTAAGTCTTTCAGCGTTTCTCATGCGCAGCCCAATCGCTGATGTCAGTCCGATTCGCTTCGCAGGCCCCATCTGCAAAGTTACCATCCTAGGCGTGGACATCGTCTTGATCACAGGAGCCGCCCTTCTCGAAGAAATCTGCGATGAGACGCGCTTTCAGAAATGTGTGGCTGGCCCCATCATCGAGATTCGTGAAGCAGTACACTCTAGCTTGTTCACTGCAAAGATAAACGACAAGGAAATGAGCCAGTGGGGAGTTGCTCATCGCATTATGGCGCCGCTGCTCACACCGGGGGCCGTTGACCAGGTCTTCGCGGATATGCGGGAGGTATCAACGGATCTGATCAAGAAATGGACCGCCGGTCCCCGCCAGCGCATCAACGTCACCAACGATCTGGATCGCCTAAACCATGCTGCCAACATGCTCTGCTTCTTCGACCAGCGCCTGCACTGCTTGGAAGGCCCAGAGCCGTCTCTCATCAAAGCCATGGAGAACGCCACTACAGAAGCCGTTCGTCGGTCCTCCCGACTCAAACTCGTCAACTGGCTTTTCTACCAGCGCAAATTCAATGCTTACAACAAGACTTTGCGCGACTACTCCGCCAGTTGCATGGATTACCGGCGCGCTCACCCATCCGCCAAGAAAGATATGCTATATGCTCTTATGGAGGGCAAGGATCCCGAGACCGGCGAAGGACTAAATGACGAACAAATCGTCGACGAAATCATCAACGTATTCATCGGCAGCGCGACGGCCCCCAACCTCGTCGCCTTCGGCCTATACTACCTCATGAAGAACCCACATGTGATTAAACGCGCCCGGGAGGAGATTGACGCTGTTGTCGGTGGCCCCGGCGCAAAGATCGAACACGAGCACCTCTCCCGTCTCCCTTACTGCCTTGCCATCGCCCAAGAAACCATGCGACTTGCCGCTCCAGCCCCCGGCTTCAACCGCGAAGCCATTCCCGACCAGGAAGGCCCAGTCCTACTCGCAGGCGGCGAGTACGAAGTGCCGCGCAAACAGGCTCTCATTGCAGTCCTGTACGGCGTCAACCGCGACCCCGCCGTTTTCGAAGATCCCGACGCTTTCAAGCCGGAGCGCATGATGGGCGAAGCATACGAAAGGCTACCGTCCGCGGTAAAGAAGGGCTTCGGTACCGGCAAGCGCGTTTGCATCGGCAAGAAATATGCTTGGGAATGGTCGTATTTCACCCTCGTCAGCATCCTCAAGGACGTCGAGTTCGAACTCGCTGACAAGGACTATGTCACGGATGGTGCGGGTAATAATTACAATGGCGCGTTCACCGTGAAACCGTTGGACTTCTTTGCCATTACTGGGCCCCGCCCGAGAGCAGGTTAAGCTTGTTGCTTTTTCGGTACATATAATATGCCGCATGTTTCTACTTCCTTCATATGCCTGTCTATGATATCCAGAATGCGTTTTTATGTGTAATCTATGAAGTTGATCCTGAAAATTGAAATAGCCCCCGTGAGAATGGGAGGTTAATAAATGGGACTGCATGTCTTAAGTTGATAATGTCTTGGCGACTACTACTGATATATAATATCTAAATCTCGATACGCCTGTAGGACATCCCCTTCCTGGGTGATCAACTCATGAAGTTCCGATACCCATGTAATCCTTTAAAAGCAAGATTACTTTAGTAACTTAAGCTCCCTACCTCGTTATATTGTTCACGTGACTGCATAGTAATCTATGGTCTGTCCATCTTGCGACCTTCATCTTTTTAACTTCTTGATTCTTTCTTGCTCGTGCGTTTTCATATCTGAGAAATGATTGAATAATAAGTAATAACAACAATCATTACAAGGCAAAGAACAAAAAGAAAATATAACCGTTGTGGAGAGCAATATGCCCATCCTGCAAATTAGGGCGTCACTGCTCTCTACCCGCACTGTAGCCAAGGCACTTTACGCAATCCGCCACTCATAGGGATTAATATTACTATTCTGTAGGCTCAAATGTGGAGATACGACAATAAATGAGTAATTGTGCATTGCATATAGTGTCTTATTATCGGGCAGAAGGTAAGATAGGCTCAAGCAAGGGCTACCAGACCATGCATCAAATGAAATGATATGAGATATCTCCAGGTTCACCACATAGATCTAGGCCATCTGTTAAAGATACCTATAATGACATCTAGCGCGCTAAGCGTTCACTGAAAGCAATATAGCTGCGCTTAGTCCTCGTTGACGCGTAAGATGATCGGATACACGACGCCTAATAGACAGGGATTGGTGACGATCCAGATCCTGAAGAAAGCTGCGTGCGCCACTGTAGCGTTAAGGCGCTGAGTATGGTAGTATTTCCGTTTGATGCAGTGTTCTTTTGTAACGTTCAACGGCAGTTCAAGGCTTCTGGTGTGTGTGTGTGTGTGTGTGTGCCCGCGCTCCAGTCGAACAAACAGACAGGGTCCTTAGATTATCATTGCATCATCAACCCGCTTTGATATCCGATCTGCCGGTGACACACTGACTATGACTGCAGCATGTAACGGGGTGGGGAAAAGCTAAGAGATCCCGGAAACTTATAGGTTCGTGCCAGCTCAGGAGATGTTGTCTAGTGAGTGGGAGGTGTATGCTGTGCGGGTAGAAGGTGCTATAAATCAGATATATATTAACTCTAGTGCCACGTAAATGAGTTATTCATAGGAAGCAGCAAAGCTCTCAGAGCTCATCCCTGACCATTATTGGAGTTATGTGTTTCATCGGATTTATGATGGCTTGGGCTCCATATCTCTTGCAAAAACAGGCTCATCTGGCTGGGTTGGAAATGTTCGAACATTGTGTTGCTGGGTGGCACTCTTCGGCTTAGAGTTCTGATGGATGTTGGTGCTTTCGAGGATGGCTGATATCTCTTTGAGTCAATTGTGTATATCTAAGCGTGAAAGGCACCGGCTATGCAATGCCACGGAAGCTAAGAGGGACGCGCAAGCTTTGTTATATGGTGTACGGCCTCCCATTTTCCGGTCGCCTTAGTTCGGTATGATGATTATTACCATATATGGTGCTGATATTCGGGCGGTAGCTCACTTACTGACTTGAATACAGAATATCCATTCAAGCTCCAGTCATAACCGGGGTAGTGTGCTTTGAGTTCCCAGTGAGAGACATCATAGTATGACAGAATATCATCGACGGGTTGGGGGTGGAAATGTAAAAGCTTCTCACAGTCCTGTCAGCAAATAGGGACGGGTACTTGATGACGGTTAGTTTTCCTAGTCGGGTCAAGTCATTTTAATCAATGACAATGTATCTAGAGGATTCTGAGAAGTTGGGTATCTGATCGTTTTTCGGGAGCACAGGTGCCTGGGTGTTGTCAGCCTTCCTACGCCGCGTCCTCCCAACTAGAGGAATTACATAGTCAAGTCAAGCTATTACCAAGCCATCGAGATGAGAAAAAACTACTAGTCAGTAGCTGATTGAGATAATGAAACCATCACTTACTAAGCAGACATTATGTTAGCATAGCATATTTAGGTCCGTGTGAAACCATTCCAGACTATCAATCAAGCTTAGTATGCTCATCTCATCTCTCTCTCCTGTATACCCTCAATTAGCAGGGCCTACACTCATACATTATCTAGCTCCCATGTTCTCTTTTTGAGGGGCTATATGCCGTCTAAAGCTCTAGGTTTCAATTGGATTGGAGTGCGGTTGTCAAATCCAATATCAGGATCAGTGTATCGTATATGAGATGCAATGACGTAGGTGACTGATTCCTGCACGGCAGTACGACAGACACATTTTCAATCAGATCGGCTTCTTGAAGTAACCTTCCCTTTGAGGATGATAGCCAATAGTCGTTAACGATTTATGTAAATTATTGATGGCGCTCAGACGAACGCACGTGCTGTAGGCCGCGGCCAGTCACTTACTATGCCATAGGGGGCCCTAGCTAACAAATGATTTGTAAGAGTCCTCTTGTAACTAGCTGCTCCCATCACGCGCTCTGCCTTCATGGATTCGTCACTCAGAGCTTCTGTTCAACAAGTAAGAGCCAGTATTCAGGGAAAACTGACATGTGACCAGGCGGATATATGCAAGCCTTGCCTAGAGATGGTCAGGGAGTGAGACCAGACCTGATTAGAATGCGCACATAATCTGAAGTATCCTTTTGGCTGCCGCCTTTGCCGTAGAGTAAGGGCGAGGTGAGCCTTTCTCAGCGACATGTCGAAAGCGCGAGTTTATACTGTATGCCACTAGTCACCTACACTAGAGCAACAACTTGAGCTGTTGCCTCTGGCCGTGAACAGGGAGTGTAAAAGTGCGAGCCAGTTAAACCTGTCAGCCCTAGTAAACTCTGGAGCTATCCTCCCCGAAACTCATTCATAGGTGAACTCGGGTGAAGCAGCTGCGCATGGGACTCAGAGGTTGCGTTATGAGGTGGCCCTAGAGATATGCAACGCAAATAGTCATTCTATCCAACCAAATAGTAGAAGGCTGGCTCGGATGTGGACAATCGTGGACGGAAAAATGAGCTGAGTGTAAGGGAGTCGTGAAGGAAGCCGGATGAACGGATCAGGATACAGTGAGAGAGCATCCTAGTGACTTGAACACGGATTCTAGTGTGTTACAGTAGACGAAGAAGGACTTTGGACGCGGTAATTCCTTCTGATCGATCGCGTTCACCAGTGTCTTGCCCTGGTCAATTGTTATTGATCTCCCTGCAGGATGTCCAAGCATGTCCTCAATTTCGGAAGGGAAGATCTTCAGGAACGGTTGGTTGGTCTAGCTAAAGGCCATTGGAAGAGCTGAAGTGGTAGGATCGCAGAAAAGTCCAATAATCAAAGAAATGCCGTTGATTGAAGTTCATAGAAGTGGAACCGAGCCGGCAGGGCAGCTGCTCGTGACTGCTGTTGCTCTGTCACGGGATCCCCTGTCTTCAACTCGCCTCTTTCCATCTTCAATACTTCCTCTTCTGTATCCTCTATCTCCTGAATCTGTTCCAAGACCTCTCGGAAACCCGCAAGTTTCTAACACCAGACATGATTCCCCAATGGGCTCCACACCTTCCGAACCCACTCGATCTTACTATGTGGTCGCACAATGGCTGGATCATCTGGCAGAGATGCTCAGCCCACTGGAGTCCAGTTTTCGGTCTGAATACGAACTGCCCTGACCTTTTATTCCACATTAACCGACCCAGTTCCACGCCATCGACAAAAATATCCTTTTGGAACTATGATTGGTCTTCTACAAGCTCGCCTACACATGAATAGGCTGATTGGTCACTCTGCTATGGAATCCCAGCGACATTCCAAAGCTGACGGCAGCTCAGTCCTCTCGCCGCGCTCCAAGTTTCAGAGCTTTCCCATTCACTGAACGCCTGTCCCCAGTGGACTTGCCCTTTGTGGAAACTGCAGCTACCAAGACACGCCTCTATTAACGCTATGATAATCTGACATTATGGATTTTATCGGGAACTTCTCTGGTTGGCCAAATCCCTGATGGCGTATACTGGTCATTATCCCGGGTTGGTAACTGAACCAGGCAGGTATGATTGCCCAAACCTCGGTAAGAATACTCCGCACTCTATAGCGCTTTATATCGACGGAGTACCGGATTGTTCCGCCTAACTTGTGATCTGAGAATTGTCTCTCGGTTGTTTACACTACTGATTTCTTACAGGCACCCGAAAACGAAGTCGATAACATACAGTATTCGAAAGCTTCCCCTACCTTCCATATTATATAGGCCATACCTCCTCATTATGAAGCCGGCCGATGGCATGCCACCCGATCAAGGTATGACCTGCGATACGTAATGTTTCAAGAGTAATATTCGCTCCAATAACTCGCGTCCCAATGTTTCGTGCTATGGAGGACTCAGACACCCCATTGAGAGAAGCTCTGCAAGGATTCCCCAGGATATTAGCCATGGGTATTCTGGCTTAGATCATCAAAATCACATACTCTACCGTCCCCTCTGCCGCATATCTCGCTTACAGTATATTGTCAGGCGCTTTAGCTGGTCTGGTCGACCGTGCGTATCCGTGCATCGCGGCTGGCAAGGCCGTCAAACTGTCTCAAATCACTGCCTTGGCCCAATGTCCAGATGAGTGGGGGTTGCGCCATGAGGTGTACGTGCGACGAATGAGATGAGGGGTCTTAGTAGGCTGATCTGGACCGATCTCTATTGTCCGATAAGAGCCTTTTATTGATCATTGTTTGACCTAACCCCGATGATCAGCGGCGCCACAAAAAGCCTTGCTCGCGCCTTAGAGCCATGGTTCAATGCTTCCTGGGCACGTCTACGCAAAAGAAGGATGTGGGACATGGATCAAGGCTGCAGACTTGGAGGCGGAACGTGGGTCAAAAAACCACGGGCCAAGTACCAGCGAGCCGGATGGAAAGTAGGCCAGTCCAACCCAGACGCTTGAGAAGCATGAGCCGACGGACATAGTGAAGTGGCCGAGTAACCTGCTGCGGTGGGGATTCAAATACTTCCTTCGGCGCCTCCTCATTCCTTGGCCTTGCCCGGGATTATGTTGCACTCATTGCGAAACCTCGTAAATCCTGATGACATAACCAATCAGGATCGACGAGCGTATGGTCTACAAGCTCCGAGCACCAGACCTAATGAGCCTACGCGCTGAGTTGAATGCGTGTAAGATTCTCTATAAGCGAAGGTAGCAATATCCCATATTACCAAGAGCGCGGCACATGCTTAATGACACTTCCAGAGACAAACTATTTCCGAGCTTCTCTACCAGAGACATTATTCGGAGGAGTGGAAGTGCGAAGCCTATATCCTTAAGATTATATTCCATTGTCAACGTGACATAATTATAGCATTGGAATCGAGGCCTTATTGACAATTTCCGACGCACAACCAACACGGCTCACAGATTCCATAATGTCCACGAAGATGCGGCCACCGTCAACAAAAGAAGACAGGAATCTCAATGATACCACTGCACAGAAGCAGGACCCTATCGAGAGGAGAAGATTACAAAATCGGCTTTCACAACGGAATCATCGTGAGTAGTTTGCAAATGTGATACTCGTGAGTAAGTCATTTAAAGTTAGCAGGGCGCAAGATCCGAGATCGCATTGCCAAGCTCCAAGAACGCGTTATTGCAAGTGAGCTGCGAGCAGCAGCCAGCTTGAACGGCTGGGACCATCCCAGCACACTCACACCGTCGCCTGTCGATCGGATGCCGCCAATTTTCGATACTGAAGGACATCCTTCACCTCCCATCCAGGATGTCTCGCCGGCTTTGGGTTCCACGTACTTCCCACAATCAAGAGTCATCTGTTCATCCTGCAGTAGCGCTTTGGGCTCAATACCAGTCCTATCCTCTCAGCCATCCTTTCCTTCCATATACGATGCCACGAATGACCTCGATACTACCTCCCCCTCATCGGCTTTGAGAAATAGTGCCTTCTATCCTCGATCGAATTCTATCAATCCCGAAATGCAGAACATGAGCAACATCTACCCCTCGATGGACTCCAATATTCCTCTCGCAGAACAGTGGAATGGTACAACCCAGTACCCAGGGTCTTCCTTTTATTACATAGCAACAGGTAAGCCGAAATGGTCGCTGAAGAATGGTTCAAATCGTCCAATACTAATTGCTCCCCAGAAGCATATCTTCCCCATATCATGCAAGCCATAAATTCCGGCTCGTCACGTCCCAAGGCAATTATTGTACTTCAACAAAACAATCATCCCCCAGGGCTGCCAGCACCCCTGCCTACATCCCAGTCATCGCCGCCTGGCGGCAGCGCGGTCGAATTGCCCGCGTCCTCGAGTCCACTGGGCATGCATGATTCGCAATGCCAATGCCAGGGCCAGGGCTTAATGACTTCGGGTGAATGGGTAAGCTCAGGGACGTCTGCGGCTACTATTTGTCCGATACACCAAATGCAGTCTGGAGACAACCTGCAGCTAATGATGCTTTGAGTGGTCTGATATATATACACGGATGTCCCATTGCCCGCATGGAATAATAGATGGAACTCAAGACCGGCACACCGAAGAACTAGCGTTTCCAATTCTCTCTTGTCTCATTGCACCGAAGCAATAATTGCGAATAGTTGATTCATCTGGTATTTTGATATAATTCGTGGCATGGTATCCACAAGTTCAGGGCGCAAAGATGTTTGCCTGTGCGCGGCAGTCGGAGTTTAGCGCCCGCTGCATTGATCTAAATGAAAGAAGCAAGTGTGCTTTCACTCTACCACAATAGCCCGATAAGAAATTTTCCACCCTGTAGGCGCCAATGAATTATATTCCCGAGACAGCCATTGCCGCTGAAGAATGCCTAAGTGTGGGCCCAAACTGGCTGAGTGTGTGTTTTTCTCAGCTTACCCTTGGCCGCAGTGGCCATTGCTGAAGAATGCTAGCTTCCCTGAGACATTTCCTACACACTACAATCAGACAGCCATGGACGCCGACAAACACCACTATAGTACATGCATCACCCATACGAGTGTATAAACGGAGCGTCGACCTCGGCCAAAGCCCGACATACGTACGTATCTATGTTCCTGCGTAACTAACTCATTCGTCAGGTTGATCATTACTGCAACTCCAATTTTGCAAACTTCAACCCTCAGTCCTCGCTATTTGCACATCTCCAAACTTCTTCACAATCACCCCCAGCCCCAGCTGCGCCACATATTATTTCGATATTGTCCTGCCGGTCTTAGACCTAGCACATCGATACCGATAACAATCCAATCCAAGCCATTTCACCGTCCGCTGTAACAGCCGCAACTGTTGTGCTCTGTTCTCGAAGCTCTCACGTGGACAAAATGGAGCTAGAGCATGTATTGTAACAAGGTGCCTACTCGTACTGATCTTCATGGGAAGCAAGTGGTTTGTCTCTCTTCTTTTCCGAGTGTCTTAAGTTGGGATTTCGGCTCACATTTGAATTCTTGTGGACTGGACTGGACTAATGCAGGAAGTTCATGTATGTACCGGTACTGTGGCGGTCAGGCAGGTTTGCATATAAATACATCCTTAACTATACATACTTAGTACTTGTTTTGTGCATGAAGTGTATGCATATGTAGCCGGAGCAAGGGTACTGACCTGTCTTCTGGTAGTTGCCTACTTACGTGTGTTGTTTGCTTTGTGTGGTTGTGTGTGACTATTTTAGTGGTTGGTGCGCCTGGAGTGGATTGCGTTTTACGTTATTAATGCTATTTGTAACTGCGAATATATCAAAGTTCTGTGTTTATGACCATGATATATTGAGATTCCAGCAGAACTGTCTAGGCAAGACATCTAACCATGAACATATCATGTTCGAATGTGATTTGCATACTTTATCCGAAGCAGCACTTGAATATCTATGTATTGTACTGCAAACATATAATAGGTGGAGGATTAAGTTCATAATCATCAGAGGCTTGAATATCACCGTTGGGCGAGCCTTAGGCCGCTAGCTGCGTGGATACTGATGATGGTTAGACGGACACGTACCAGTACACATCCCCGATTTGAGCACATCCTAATAGTTGCTATTGCTAGCATTCTACTTGTCTAATGGACTCTGCAGAGAATCTACGTTTATGCTCAAGGAGCCAATGGAGGAGCACCTGGCGGTTTATTAGAGTGAACTTGGATTCTGTGATCAGGCTATATAGGGCGATGAACCAAGTAGCGGATAGTATAACTTGATGAATAAATGCAGTCATGAAAAGTAATGGATTAGTCAGTTTTTTATCTTGCTGCACCATTCAGAACTAGACGGGTTGTCCCACAGTAGATCCCTCGTCGACTCATCTCTCCTCAGCAACGAACGTGCTCAGGACCACCCAAGGACAACACGTTCGTATGATGAATTTTTTTCCTACTGTCTTGTCTTCTTAAAGCATATATTTACAACTGCCAGGATTTTCCGGTGCCTGTTTCAGAAGGCGAAAGCTGTTGAGTTTGTGGGTCGAAAGTGACCCGTCTACACACAGAAAGCATAGACAGATATGGCTGGCACTTGACCAATGTAAGAAGCTCATGTATGGTCAATCAGGCTTCCAGATGCTGACGCAAATTAATCTCTCAAGCCTCTTGCAGAATAAATACGTGAATATCCTCATTTCGCCATGCCCTCTCCCTCGCCTAAGCGAAGCATCGGCCCGGGAACGATAACTACTCGTCTCGCTTTTACAGGCTGATTGGAAGGAATAATATTGTAAGGACTCAAATCAGTGCACCATTTGGTATAAAGTACTAGTGGACATCTACTGATGAGTTGATGCTTATGTGGGAGGTCCATAAACCGCGCTAATTGGGCATTACTAGAGCTTCATATCAGGGGTGGCTGAGCGAGCCCCTCATCTCCGTCGATGGCGGGCCAGAGCTCAATCAAGCTCATGCCCCCATCAAACCGTCAGGCTCCGGTAAGTAGTTCACATTGTTGGCCCCGCAGCTACCCACTACTTGTCAGTCTGGGTCTTGACACTACCAAGATAGACGGTCCGATTCCCGGACGAGCCGGAGATACCCCTGAGATGAATGCGCCCAGACCTCTCCAGCAGGCGCGGCGCCGCAATCGAGTAATCCACTCATGCCTTGAATGCCGCCGGCGGAAGCTGAAATGCGATCGAACGGTAGGATAACCACTCACTCTCAACAATGATAAGAGCTAACCGTTTACGTAGCAACCCTGTCTTGGCTGTCGCTCATCTGGCCTGCAATGTGCCTACATCGCCGCCGCAGCCCATGACGCTCAATTTCGCCAAAAGCTGGTACAAATGAAAGATGCTAAAGACGCACTGGACAGCGGCCTGACTACGAGCGGGGATACAAACTTGACCACAGAGGAAGAAGATCCTGGCTGCGGCGCCGACGACTATCTAGAGCCAACGCCGTTGGCCACCCAGGATGCCGCCTATGCTTCCGATGCCGAAGATGACACTCACGATATCGGCATCCGAGTTGGTCGGATGCGGCTGAATGAGAGGGTTGGAGGCCTTTATCGCCCAAGAATTGCAGATGAGGTATGTAATAAGAATGACATAAAGCTCCAGTTTCAGAACTTAGATACCCATGCTGCTAGTTGTCGCACTCTTTGCAGTATCTCCAAAAGCGAGAGAACCATCACCCCTCTATCTCAATTATTACATCCTCTACATTGGTTGGGTCATCAGGCGATTATATGATGCCTGGGAGATCCTTTATAGTCCCGTCGGTGAATCTGGCTCTCGGACCGACGTCCTGGGAAGAGCCGCTGGCCAAATTTGTCCCTGCTCGTCATATTGCGGACAAACTGTTAGAGCGCTATTGGGTTGCAGTGCATCCTGTTGCGCGGATTCTGCATCGCCCCACGTTTGCACAGCGGTACGAAACACTCTGGGAACTTGTCGAGAGCGGGCATGAAGTGCCTCCATCTTTGAGCGCAATCGTCTGCGCAATCCTCTTCTCTGCAACCCTTTGTATCGATGAAGCAGGTAATCTGGTAGAAGACGATGTGCCTCGTGAAATCTTAAAATATCGTTTGCAGTCAGGCACGGAGGTTTCGCTTGGAAGAGCGCAACTGTTACAGTCAACAAGAGCGGAAACGTTGCAGGCCTTTGTGGCTTATCTGGTAAGCATGAGTAGTCAATTTCCTTTGATACAATTGTGCTAATGGAGAAATGTGTTATGTTTACTTAGCTCGCGATGTGCATAGATGAAGTTTCTCGCGCCCACTCAGCGCTTGTCGGCATGGCGATCAGGTTGGCGGAATGCATGGGTCTTCATCGTGATCCTGCAGAGTATGGTTTTTCCCCAGCAGAATGCCAAACCAGACGTCTGATCTGGTTTCAAATCTGCTATCTTGATGTGAGAACGAGCGAAATACAAGGCCCTCGACCGTTCATCCAACCAGATGGGTTCACCACCAAGCTTCCCTTTGACCTAAGCTCGGTTGCGGTTTGGAATGATACGATATTCTCCGTGATTCGGTTCGAGTGCCAAGAGATGCATCGAGAATGCCTGATTCTGCGCACCAATGTCGATCGAAAGAGATTGAGTCTCACGAGCGCAATTGTAAAGCTGGAACAGTTTCGCACCAGAATGGATAATAAGTACGGACGGCTACTTTATAGCACTTCTCCGCAACAGCCAACCCAACGTTTGGCTGCGCTAGTACTGAAGCTTCTGGAAAGCTTGCTTTACGTTTGTCTCTTGCACCGATATATGAACAGTGTTGAGTATCAAATACCTGATCGATTGCGCCAAGTTGTGCTCAGCAAGGGTACTGATGCTCTGGAAGCGGCAGTAGAGCTTGAATCTGCGCAGGATCTCCGCCCGTGGTCCTGGTATAGTCGCTCCTACCACCAGTATCACACGGCCCTGTTACTGTTATGTGAGGTTTTCTTCTACCCTATGCGAAAGGAGGCCGGTCGCATTTGGCGCTGTCTGGATTTCATATTCGCAGAACCGCTATCCCAGCTCCACATTGCTGGAATATCAGAGAAGCCTACCCTTGAGGAGATAATACAGATAAGGGATCTCAAATCACGGTATCTTCTTACCCTGATAACGGAAAGAATGCGTGCATACCAGTTCAAAAAGGGGTTCAGATTGTCTTCCCAGATTCAGCGATCGAAGCTGGTTGCCCCTCATCAGGTCAGCGTCGGCTCGGATCTCAAAACCATACTGAATCGTGCACACGAAAACACGGGGTCAACCCCTTGCATTCATGGCGAACCAAGTTGTTTGGGGTCTGGTCAGGGAGCGGAAGGTAGATCGAACGATAATCATGGGAAGACTGATGTGTCGGCCGACGTCCTTCGAAACCCTCCACACACCTGGGTTGTTCCTTCTGTGAACTTTGCTGAAGAGCTACTGGGCACTCAGAATTCCTTGTATAGGAGTGTTTATGGCCCCAATTCATCGATAAACGGCCCAGTTGGCGATAACACCATGCACGTACAGCATTCAGACGTTCACGGAGCTCTGAAGGGCGCGAGTGCGGAAACGCTAGAGATAGACTGGGTATGTAAATTTCTGTTCTATTCCTCACAATCTCAACATCTGATGATATCCCTGGCAGAGTTTCTGGGATACCGTATTTCCAGTCCAGATCAACGATGGGATCCTTGATATCGAGATGGGCACCAATGACATTGACAGTTTTCTGGCAAGTGAAGTGGAACTGAGTTAGCGTTCAAAGGGTCGAGTGGGGAAATTAAGGCGCAAATTTGTTTATATTGCAAAACCTGTCAGTTATCAGTTAAAGGATGTTGACATTTACGGCCGTACCTGCTCAAGTTGGTTGGTGGGCCGCCCTGCTACTAAGCAGTCCCTTACGGCCGTACGGTTAGCCGGGTGGAACTATAGCCCAACATGAACCTGACCAGATTAGGTGAAGGCAAGTGTTCACCAAAGCTAATGTCGGATGGAGTTGTAAATTCTGATCATCTCCAAAAAGTACGGCCGTTGATACCTCTTAACATGGTATAAAAGGGGGTCTGAATCACAGGAAACCTGGACTTCTCATCTCAGCAGACTCCGAGACAACTTAGGATTTAGCCGGTTGGCCACTATACTACCAATACAATCAACCCAAATAGAAATGCCAACTGCATTAGTCACTGGAGGCACAGGCTTCATAGCCCTTCACGTCATCAAGCTGCTCCTCGAGCAGGGACACAAAGTCCACACGACCGTGCGCAGTCTCAGAAACCCAACAAAATGCAAGCCCATCCTCGACCTACAGTTCCGATATCCGGGACAAATCTCCCTATTCGAAGCAGACCTGACGAAAGATGGTTCCTTTCTTCAGGCTATGGAGGGTTGTCACTTTGTATACCACATTGCATCGCCGTTCTTAGTCCCCTCGCAAATTAAGGATGGGCTACGCGACTGCGTGGAACCAGCTCTCAGAGGAACCAGGAACGTGCTGGAATCCGTAAATCAATGTCAGTCTGTACAGCGGGTTATATTGACATCATCAGGTAAGCCTTTCCATCTCTTTTCCCTCTCTTTGGTTGTTAATATAAGATACTTAGTGGCCGCTATGTACGGCGATTGCATCGAGATCCATTCCGTCAATAAAGGCACTCTGATGGAATCTCTATGGAACGAAACCAGCAGCGTCACCAACAACCCATACCACTATTCCAAGGTAATGGCAGAGCGCGAAGCCTGGAAGATTCACGCCGCCCAGGATCGCTGGGACCTCGTTGTCCTGAACCCAGGGTTAGTTCTCGGACCATCAATGACGCCCGAGTCCGTCTCAGGCAGCCTCTTCATGATCGAAAACATGTTCCGTGGGAATAACCGCATGGGTGTTCCGGAACTGTATTATCCTGTGGTTGATGTGCGGGATGTGGCGGAGGCGCATGTCAGGGCTGGGAATATGCCTAACGCTAATGGGCGATATATTATCGCAGGGAGTGGGGAGACATTCAGCTTGTTGGAATTGGCGAATATGGCCCGTTCTGTGCACCGAGATCCGAGGGTCTTGCCTAATCGCAATTTGCCCAGAGTAATCGTTTACTTGGCTGGGCCTTTTGTAGGGGTCTCGAGGGGGTGGATTTCTCGGAACTTGGGCGTGAGGTTTAGTGTTGATAATGGGAGGAGTGTGAGGGAGTTGGGCATGGAATATCGGTCTGTGGAGGGCGCGATTAAGGATCATTATGAGGCTTGGGTGGAAAGAGAAAAGGGTCGATGATGTATTCTGCAGCCTAATTTGCAGACGCCATGGTTGTAGTAAGCTATAATCGTGATTGATGAAGATTGGGTGATTGGAGGTCGAAATAACCTGTATTAAGAATTATCAGAACACTACATGCATCGCTCATAGTAACCACCCGATAGTGGAAGGAACAATAGCTCTATATAAAGTATCACCGGAGCCAGCAGCAAAGCATGTGTTGGCGCAATATAGGCCCGCATCGCTCAAATTTCATTGACAGATCGTAATCTGGTTTTCGCTTGGTTTCAGCGCGTCAGTGCGAAGTGAGAGTACGGTGAAGCGGGACTTCAAAGACCTCTACAGAGACATGATCCAAGTGCATACAATAACGCTTCTTGCTAGTAGTGCATATCGCTCATTCAGTGTAGCTAGGCATCACCAAAGCCTTCGCCACCTCCGCTGCCTATGTGGTCTTCCCTCCTCAACATCTTCTCGAAGATCAAGACAGGCTCCACATACATACAAGGGGAGTCCTTCCCTGCCCTTTTTTTACTCTTGTCATAAAATCTTGTGTTATCTATTCACTGGTATTGTCAAAATACATAGTACTAGGCCAAATACAGATGAGGCACATGATCGATCTCGTTTCTCTACTCAACACACAAACGCGTACCCAAATTTCTCCTCCTCCCTTAACTGGCGATAATAGAGAAAGGCATTTCTACTTCCACTTCTTTCAAGCTAAAAGGAACGTCAACTCTAAAGTTGGGTCTCCAAAAATTTCTGGACCCCTCCAGCTTGCTGGAGGCCCTACCCCGCGGGGCAGGAGGAGGAGGAAGAAGAAGAGGGTGGCACAAAGTATGTATCGAAGCTATTTATCACTACTAAAAGGTTGTACCTGTCACTGACACCAGAGTTCAGCGCCACAGAAATCCTTGCAGCTGTTATGGGCTCTGGGGACAAACCCCGGCAGAATATCGTCTCTTCATGCTCGTGGCGGCAGAGGCCGCAGGCCTCGTGTTAGTATTCTCTCTGTCCTGGAAACTTGACTTTGATATACTGACTATTATGAGCACTATACTACTACCACCACCACACCACCACATCCACGCCGCTGCCGCCGTCGCTGTCCACCCAGCAGCAGTCACAGCAGCAGCCAGAGGAGGAGCAAGATGACTTTTATCACTTGGCAGATTACTTGGGAAGAATCTTAATGTGTTTGTAGTTGGACAAAGAGGTTCGAATGATAAGTGGTATTACTCTACCACCACCACCACCACCACCACCACAAACTTCCAGCAGCAACAGCAAATAACCTCGATACTGATACCTTGTCTTTCTTGCACACAATTAGGCTGCTTATCAGAACCCTTATCAGGACCCTATTTTGCCCGGTGTGCCCGGCCACCTGATAGCAATTGGGAACGGAACCTCACTTGTTCAAACAAGAAACTAGATGTACAAAGATAACTTGTCTTCCAAGACGTCTCCTCTCATGACAAAATTTCCTTCACATAATAATTGAACCAACTTATCATATACGCTTTTGTTTGATCCCACCTGTAGCCTCTAAGTCGCGCCAGATGAGGAGAGAAGTGAGTAGCACTTCGCATTGTAAGGTTGCCCGACGGACTACCGACGTGAACGCTGCGCACTAGTAGCAAAAGGCTTCATTACCTGGGCAGTGACAGGCGGGGCATATGCAAGTCTCTTACAAATAGTGGAAGGCCAAGAGATGTACTTCTGAGAGCCAGATCCTCCAGATAGCCTCCTCAGCCCAGATCGTCAACTCCAAAGCTTGGCTTCAAATAGGGACCTCAAAACATCGCTCTCCTCTGGAAGTACCGTGACTTTGGTCCAACCTAACGAAGTGAACGCTCCCATAAGTGCTAAGCAGATTCTGGCTAAAAGAAGGATGCAGGCTAGCCTCTCATAGACATAAAGGCGTAGTCTGTAGCGTTCGCCGGGCTTCGTTTCGAGTGCATTTGTGGCAGTCTAGACCACCGAGTCGTTGACAACGATCGAGCCCATCTCACACTTTACTTCCACCGAAAGTTGAAGATGCAAGCAGGACTACCCATGACGCACACTTTGTCGACCATACGAAACACTGGGGTTAGAAGTCAGTCATTCCTTGGCCCTCAGACAGCCCATGCAAAAGCACTGCTACCTGACCTTGAAAAACATTCTCGAATGTCAGGCCGGTCTTTACACCCGTTCCTTTGGAAAAGGGGATAGTGGGCCTGGGAAGGAACTGGGAGACCCGGAGCTCCTCTCACAAATGCAAGGGTCATAGGCACTATCTGTGGGCGCCCATCTATGTATAGCTAGCTAGCTAGTAATGCCTCCAGGCTGTCTATCGACGTGGCCTTCTTCTATTTACTGGCGATAGGTCAACGGCACATGCGCTTATCTAGCGTGAATCATTGGCCTGCTCAGTATCCTGGTCATCACCCTTGTTGCCGCAATGACCGCCAAGTTGAGGAGCAACGGGATATAGGTCATCATACCATCACGATAACTTTGAGGTTTTTCTATCTTAAACAAAAATCATGTCCTTCACATTAACCCTCCACCTCTGGCTCACCAAACTCTCACCACATTGCAATTTCGCTACTCGACCGGCACCTCCAACCCATTTACCTTCCCCTGGGAAGCTGGCATTCCCAACACCCCATTCTGGGACACGTTCTCCTTCAGCCAAGCGGCCTGTATCTTAAAGGCCCTCCCTCCCATTGAGCTAGGAATACGACCTCGACGCGCGCTACGGCTCCTCAGCAAGCCAACCAGAGAAAATGGCCGTTATCCTCGACATCCCTCCAGGAAAAGATCAAACACGAGGAAGCCAGATACACTCTCCCAGACAACTTCCATAACGCTGATCATACCCTCTACAGACGTTTCTGGCTTGCTGTCGCCAGCGTCAGCGTAGCCTTGGGACAAACGGACAAGGCGGAGGCCGCGTATCGAACGCTCGTTACTAATAGAGAGGACAAGAATGATCTGGTGCCTGTTTTCAACCTCTCAGGCTTTTTGATTCATTATGGTACTACGAGCAAAGTTCAAGAGGGTTTGGGATTGACTGGACCTTGTTTGGAGTGGTTGGATAAGAAGCTGGGCAGGGCATCGCCGCAGGGTATTGAGGTGATGGGGAATATTGCGGAGGCAGAGTGGAAGATGGGAAGAAGGGAAGAGGCGGAGGGGATGATCAAGGAGGCACATGAGTGTATTGATGAATTGAAGGGGACGAAGTTTGCTGTCTATGAGGATGATGAGAGGGAGTTTACGCAGGAGTGGGAGAAGGGGCTGAGGGAATAGTGCTTGTCTGGGGTCATATTGTTGATGATAGGGATGATGGATGTAGCTTGAATAAATATTGATTCTTCCTTTCTGTAAAGGGAGAACCATATTGAACAAGCCATGGTCATTAGCAGTAAAATCTAGTTAAGGTTGTGGGTCGTCTGTCTGACAGGCTTGGCAGTTATTGATATGGGCCACAGGTGCCTCATCCCCTTGTATCCCTTCATATTGAGACCGCGTACCAGGCTGCAAAATCACAATGCCGCTATACAGACAGTTCTAAATCCGCATCATGCTGCATTCCCGCCATAATCCTCTCTACAACTATTGTGAAGAAGCTTGCTCTGTGCAACGTGCCTACCCAATCAGGTAGTGCCCTCTCCTTTTCTTCTATTTATTTAAAAAGCATCCTTAGTAGTAATAAAGAATGAACAACTATCTGCTTTGTCTTTATCTTCTTCTTCTGTGTTTACTTAGACTTAGATCCGCTTGCTCCAGCACGGAGCAACTTGGTAGCATGTTCTAATGTTTCTCGGAGTGTCTTTGCTCTTCTCAAGTAACGTACCGCAGGCCGCGGAATATACTATTAAATGAATCTAGAGCGCGAGACGCGTTGTTTGTTATTATTGTTATTATTATTGTTGTTTTAGCTGTTTACGCGAGCTGCGCGTCCGGCTGTTCTTTCCGGAAAGAAAACTATTTTATATCAGTAACTGATTCTTCCTCAGAACTCCCAATCTAACTTTCTTTATACGTATCGAATACTACATTGTTAGATATCATCAGATATCGCATAGTCAACTTCCTGAACATAGTCCCACTTGTCAGTCAGTGATAATAACGCAAACGTAACTACATACGCCCAGGAGAGTAATGGCGGATATTATACTGGTAGGATTAGATTCCATGCTAGGAAGAGATCTTAGAATGGTTTTACACAGAGCCATATCTGGATTCTTAAATACTAGAGAAATTTACAATGTCAATAATTTAAAGAATAATATCAGAGAAAATAAATTAGCTGAATTAGATATCTGAAATAATAATATTCTCTGCCCGTATGGCGCCTAAACTATGAAAGCTTATATATAGACTGTAATTCTACTGTATCGCCTGTAGCAATATAGATAAAAAAGCAGTGCATCCAACCTGGTATTCTAACTAGCAAAGCAATTATATACAACAGATATTAGTAAAACCTCTAAAATTATATCCATCTTGAGTAAAAGTCAGTATCAGAAAATATATATTATAATTAATATTAGTTCTACTGATTTCTTTTAATTTAAATATATAGTAGAGGAACTATCAGAGATTATTATAAATTTCAAATACTAATCTTTCTATTAAATATTAAATGAATATAATATCTCAGATGTATATAAGAGCAATGATATAAATATTAAAAAGAAAGAATATAAACAATAATATATCCGCCGTCAGCAGATCAAAGAATAAACTGCTAAAATAGTAAAATTACAGTAAGAAATACTAAATCTCAGATAAATCTTAGATTAATCAGATTAAAATTACACTGCTTATCAACAGCAGTGTCAAACCCTAGGATCGCTTCCCTGTCCCAGTTAGCTTAGCCCCGTTGGTATACGTACCGCTGAACTACGTCAAGGTAGTATTGACTGATGA